TGCAAATCACCTCACACAAGCTAAATGGCCAGAACTATCTGCTATGGTCGTTTTCTCATCATGTTTGTCCGAGGTCGAGGGAGATACGACTATCTCCCGGCACCACTACAGCCCCGCCAGAATCAGATCCTTCATATCCTACGTAGGAGGCCGAAAACTCCATGTTGATGGCTTGGTTGATCAACTCTATGGAACTAGATATAGGTCGATTATATTTGTTTCTTCCTACTGCCAAAGCTATATGGGAAGTCGCTGCTGAAACTTACTCTAATGTTGGTAATGCTGCACAGCTATTTGAGGTCACTCAAAGGGTCTGCCGAATCAGATAGGGAGAGCTCTCAGTCACTCAATACTACAACATTCTCAAAGGTTTATGGAAAGAGGCAGATCAATACTGACAGGTGAAATGGGAGTGCGCTGCTAACAGTACGCTGTACAACAAGATGCTTGAACAAGAGCGCATCTTTGAGTTTCTGATTGGTCTCAACTGAGACTTGAGACTTAGACGATGTGGGGGACGAATAATTGGAAGAGAACCCCTACCTTCCATTTTCAAAGTCTTTGCTGCTGTTCGCTGGGAAAAAAGCGGTAGGTTCGTGATGATGGGAGGAAATTAGCCCACTCTATCTATCGATAAATCTGCATTGGCTACCGACTCTACTCTAACAACTCAGCAGTGTTACAATCGAAGGAGTGACAACAGACGCCCTTGGTGTGACCATTGTCACAAAATAGGTCATACCAAAGAAACCTGTTGGAAGCTGCATGGTAAACCAGCGTGCTTGAAGAACAATAAGCCCGCCAAGAGCAATAATTGTGCTCTTCATGTCACTGAATATACCCAGTCTATTCATTCAGGCTCGCAGACTGGTTCTCAAGACTCAATCATCTCCAAGGAGCAATGGGATCTTCTTCAGGACCTGATTCAGAAGACCAAAACGCCAGCTGCATCCACTCCTAATCCATCTTGCTCCTTAGCAGGTATGACAAACAACCCTTGTGTCTCTTGGATAATAGATTCAGGGGCGTCTGACCACATGACTGGTTTATCTAATTTGTTTACCTCCTATTCTCCCTGGGTAATATCAAAGTTAGAATAGCTGATGGATCTCTATCGCCATAGTAGCAAAAGGAAAAATTCCTATCTCTCAAAATCTTGCCCTTAATTCTGTGTTACATGTTCCCAAACTTACTTGTAACTTCTTTTCTGTTAGCAAATTTACTAAAGACCAAAACTGTGTTGCTAACTTTTATCCTACCTACTGTGAGTTTCAGGACTTGATCTCGGGGAAGAGGATTGGCAGTGCTAGGTTGGAGAATGGTTTGTATTATTTTGAAGAAGGATCAAGCTTAGGTAGACAAATTCAAGTCGCAAATAAAGCCTCCACTTCTCTTCAAGAAGATAACATCATGTTATGGAATCGTAGATTAGGACATCCCAGTTTTCATTATTTAGCAAAATTGGTTCCTGTTTTATTTTCTAATAAAGATCCTTCTCTAGTTCAATGTGAGATTTGTGAACTTGCAAAACCATCATAGAGCACATTTCCGCTCAAAAATTTATGAAAAATCTTCGCCTTTCAATCTTCTCTGGGGTCCATCCCGTGTGAAAAATATTTCAGGTACAAGATGGTTTATATCTTTTATTGATGATCATACTCGTTTGACATGGATATACCTATTAAAAGACAAATCTAAAACATTTCAGTGCTTTCAAAATTTTTACAACATGATTAAAACCCAATTTGGTGTTTCTATACAACTTTTTTGAACGGATAATGATCGTGAATATTTCTCTAATGTACTTGGTAATTTTTTATCTGAAAAAGGAGTCATTCATCAATCCTCCTGTGTCAATAGTCCTCAACAAAATGGTCTAGCCGAAAGAAAAAATCGGCATCTCTTAGAAGTGGCTAAGGCATTAATGTTCACCTATCAAGTTCCAAAATATCTTTGGGGGGAAGCTGTTTTGACTGCTGCATACTTATTTAATCGTATGCCATCTAAAGTTCTCAATTTTCAAACACCCATTCAAATATTTAAAAAATTCTATCCAAATACAAAGTTATTACACTCTTTACCCCTAAAAACATTTGGTTATCTACTTAAAAGGACACAAGTGTTTTGATCCCATCTCTAAAAAATTCTGTGTCAGCCAATGTCACCTTTTTTGAAAATCTTCCTTATTTCTCCAAAACTCCTTTTCAGGGGAGATAAGCTCACAATTCGAATCGGAAGATAAGTTTTGGGAATCAGAATCAGTAGAATCAGTTCCAAATATCTCTTCATTTCAAAACTCAAATGAGCCTCAAATCTCTCCAAATTTCTCTACAGTTCAAAATTCGAATGACACCTTAACTTCTCCATCAATCTCTCTAAACTAAAACTAAAATTCAAAATTTTCAATCCCTTTAAAAAATCAGCAAACTGAAAATTCAAAAAATCCTAGGAACTCGGCAAATATTTCTCCAAAAACTCCAAAAAATTCTATCTCAATCCTGGTGCTAGAAAATCGCAAAGAGGGGAGGAATCTAACTGTCCTGAACTTCGTGTTTATACAAGGCGGGAAAATCCTAACAGGATAATGCAGACCTTTCAACCCATACCAATACTGCCCTATCCTTCAGTCGAGATTGAGGAATCAAACGCAAAAGCTACTGATCTAAATCTACCCATAGCAAACCAGAAAAGGAGTAAGAACCTGCACACAACATCCCATTGCTAAATATACCTCATTTCACAGATTATCTCCTGCCTATTTGTCTTTTGTCCTTAATCTGGCTTCTATAGAAATACCCACGAATATTGAAGAAGCTTTGGAGAAACAAGAGTAGCGTGCGGCTGTAATGGAGGAGATGAAGGCATTGGAAAAAATTGGAACCTAGGAGATTGTTAAATCGACAGAAGGCAAGGTTCCTGTTGGCTATAAATGAGTTTTCACTCTCAAATACAAGGCTGATGGATTGATTGATCGTTACAAAGCATGGTTGGTTGCCAAAGGGTACGCACAGACTTACAACATCGACTACCAGGAGACCTTTGCACCCGTAGCAAAGATGAACACAGTCAGAGTGATCATGTCTATAGTAGCAAATCAAGATTGGCCACTCCACTAGCTTGATGTAAAAAATGCTTTTCTTAACGGAGAACTAGTAGAAGAGGTGTATATGTCACTCCCCCCAGGATTTGAGAAACACTACGGAAAGGACAACATATGCTGACTAAAAAGATCACTATATGGTCTGAAACAATCACCAGGGGCCTGGTTTGACAGATTTTCAAAGGCATTAAAAGGCTTCGAGTTTGCACAAAGTCAAACTGACCACACACTGTTTTTGAAGTATTCGACAGGGAGAATCACTGTGTTAATCGAATATGTTGACGACATAATAGTGACAGGTAATGATAGTAAAGGTGTTCAAGAGGTTAAGGAGTATCTTGGGAAGGAATTCGAAATCAAAGATCTTAGATATTGGAAGTATTTCTTAGGAATGGAAGTAGCAAGATCAAATCGGGTATTGCAATCACGCAAAAGAAGTATACACTGGATCTACTCAAGGAGGTCGGAATGCTAGGATGCAGGCCTAGTGAGGTTCCTATTGAACCAAACTTTAAATGAAGGATAGTGGAGAGAAGAAACAGACCAATAAGGAGAGATATCAACGACTAGTCAGGAAACTCATCTATTTATCTCACACTAGACGTGATATCGCCTTCTCGATTAGTGTGGTCAGTCAACACATGCACTCTCCAACAGACGAACATCTGGAAGCTTTATATAAGATTTTAAGGTATTTGAAGAGAACACCTGGTAGAGGATTGCTTTTCACTAATTAGCACCCATTAAAGATTGAAGCTTATACAGATTCAGATTGGGCTGGATGTATCAATGACAGGAGGTCAACAACAGGTTTCTGTACATATGTGGCAGGTAATTTGGTCTCTTGGCGAAGTAAAAAACAAACTGTTGTGGCTTAAAAAACTAGTCGAAGAAATGGGAATCAAAGTTGAAGGACCTATGAAGCTTTTTTGCGACAACAAGGTAGCAATTAACATTTGTCACAATCCTGTTCAACATGACAGGACGAAACATGTTGAAATTGATAGACATTTCATTAAGGAGAAATTAGAAGGAGTTGTCTGTATACGTTACGTCCCTACAAAAGAACAGCTAGCTGATTTGTTTACAAAAGGGTTGCAAAAACAGACATTCGAAGATTTAGTGAGCAAGCTGGGTCTTTACGATGTGTACGAACCAGCTTGAGGGGGAGTGTGGGAAAACACGTGTAATTCTAGGAGTGTTGTGGTGTAGATATTTTTTAAATTTGAATTTAAACAGAACCTTGTATATAGGAGTTGTCTTAGGAGTTATATTCTGATCTGATTGTTATCAGGTTAAGTTTATCCCTTTAAATAGGGCTACGTTGTAAACTTTACATAGTATCTAGGAAATATTCAGTTTCTCTAATTCTTCAGTATTCTAATATGTATTGCTATTGAGCACCTAACTTATGGTTTTTATTCACTAGAAAATTGATCCAAATTAAGTGAACTTCTAGTTGCATCTCATGATGAACTTGAGCTAGACAAGTGTATGGAATAGAATATAAAACTAATGCTTTCAGGAAACTGATAAATGAAAACATTGTGTTTGTCACGTACACGCTGCCTGGTTTTCATAAATCTCCAATCTGGGTAAATTTATTGTGTTGTCCTTTAAATACTCAATCTTTGACAAATATTAGTGGGAGTTTAGCAATTTTGTTCCATATCTATCAGTAGGGCAGCAGTTTTAATTGCAATAGTCTGGATGAGATTGGAAATTCACTCATTTCTCTATGTTTCGTATGCCGTTTACTCTGCTCTTCTTTTTATCATCTTGTGCTATATCTTTGTTTCTTATGATCATTTTGCCTTTTAAGTTTTGGATTGCAGCATTTTGTTGCATATGGGATTCATTTCCCCTCTGTGTCAGTGTTTTGATGTTGTGCTGTTTTGACAGATGGTATGGTGGAGGATGCTAGGGTAAACAGTGGGGAAGAGGAAGGCTATTCAAAGAAAGAGCAAGAGAAGAAGGTAAGATAGTTTTGTCTCTGATACATTCTGAACATACAGAAACTACGAGAATAGCGCAAACTCCGAACTGATGAAAGTTAGCAAATGCAGTTGTCTCCTTTATCAACTTTGGAATCATCCTTTGAGGCTCTTAATGTCAAGAAGTTTGATGGTCAGTAGTGCATCATTTATTGGCTAGTACTGTATCAGGGTTAACCACAATGCTAAAACAACGCATCTTTCATTTGTCAGTTGCATTTGCGGTGGATCCTCTGTATCATCAGACATCAGCACAATTTGATGAAGGTGGGGCCAAGGGTCTCTTGTTGAATAATCTTGGAGTATATGGTGGCTGTCGGGTCCTCTTTGATTCTCTGGAAGTGCCAGGGAAGTGCATGTCATGTGCAGTTCAGCATGATAGAGCAGAGGCAATTGATATTTCTTTTGCCAAAGGTATGTTGCTTTTGTCAGCACAAGCGCTATACATTGAGGGAGAGAGAGGCGGAGGAGGAATGTTTGACATGTGCATGAGAATTAGAGAATATAGTAAGGGAGAAGTGTATGGGTAGTGGATGTTGAGATAGATAAGGAGACTACACACTTAAATGACTTCAAAATTGAAACTGCCTATGAGAAGACCACTTGTATTTTGCGGTCCCACTAAGTGGACACCAAACCCGTGCTCTCTTTTTATTAATAGTATAGGTTTAACGACTTTGGTTTATGTTTTCTGTTGCATGCTTGAATGGTCAATTGCATTTATCCAGAAGGCATTATCATTCCCTTTGTTTTTCTCTTTCACAGAAAGCATTGAACAGATGATGCTGAACATGCCTAAGAAGGATGAAATTTCACCCAGTCTTAGGGAGATAGTAAATCAATTTGATGAAGATAGTCAACGACCGTTAGATGCATTTTCTTCTTGCCAGAAATCAGCCGAGCAAGTTTGTGAAGCATCTGACTATAACACTGGGTTGGATGGTGATGCCTTTGAGAACTGTGGGACTTGGGCCTTTGATCATGATGACCAAACAAGTGTGGTTGATGAGGGAAATTGTGACTTGGATCCAACTATTCCAAATAATCATGAGGTGTGTTATATATGCTATCCAATTGAAGTCAAAGGAAGTTCCATTTTTGGTCCACTGGAAAAAATTCAGCATTCCCTTCTGCCATTGTTTCAATGATGGCCCGAAAAGTTGGTGCCCACTGCCGATCGATGGCAGTGGTCCCTGGAGTTGTTCAGCATTTGAGCCAAACCAATTCCCGTAGATGTAGTTTTGGTTTTCATATTAATTTAATAATTATTTGCCTTCCTAAGAAGAACAAAAAAAATGAAGTTTGCTGACATAGTTTGGTTGACTTTAGCAGGACAATGAAGGATTTACTTTCCACGAACCTGATGTGGATGACAGATTTGATAAAGTTGATGGCTATTTGTTTTTAAGTTTGGGGTTTTCTTCAAAACAAAACAACTGGGCAGGTCCTGATCATTGGAAGTATCAGAAAGCCAGAGGTAAGATTTTACAGGCTAATTGCGGTTGTATCATCAATCTGCACTCTTATCGAAGGAATCAACCATTGTGTTATGTGATGTAGAATCTGTTTTATTGGTTCAGAGGAGGCTTCCAAAGAAAATGGATCACCGTTAACTACTAAGAAACCGCTGAGCAGAAAACAAGGAGAACGTGATATTGATTTTACAAAAGCCTTGGACAATGATACACCGGATATCTTTGCTCCTCCTAAGAATCCCAAGTCACTACTACTGCCTGCAAATAGAACACCTTGTAATACAACACTTCCGGAAGATTGCCATTATCAGCCAGAGGACCTTGTCAAGTTATTTCTTCTTCCTAATGTTATGGTAAAGAATTTCAGCATTTAATACAGACAATATAGCCTGCTGTTGTTTATCTTATATGTTAAATGTAATTTTTCACGATCTTTGTTCTTGTGCCAGTGCCTTGGGAGGAGAGGAAGAAAATCCTCAGGTGAAATTACTTCAACTGCTAATATTCAAAATATTTTGTTTTCGTGTCTACGTAGCATTTCAGGTCTTAACTTGTATAGAACAAATTTGATTTCTTTAGGCTAGTTTCTCATTCGCATAGTCACATTTGACTTGCTGTTCATTCTAGGAGTACCAAAGATATTGCTGCTGGTTTTTCAAGTTTGTAGCTTCTGGTTATGATTTCCATACAAAGCATTTGATGATTGGGTAGTGTGCATATTTCGTGTAGACAGATGAAACCTGGACTTCTGAAAACGATAACATTATCCCGAGCTTTTCAAACAACCCACTGGTGAAAGTGTTGGTATGCAATGAAAGATTGCATTTTGTTTGATCTTTCCAATAGGTATAAAACGAAGAGATGAAAAAGACATCCAATTTGGCATATATTTTGAAACTTTAAATCACGAGTCTAAAAGGAGGATGAAATTTGTACTTTGTAATAACAGATAAAAAATCAGCTGCCTTTAGAGAAATAGATAATAAAGCCAAGTAATTATTAAGTGGATATCCAGTCTTAAAGAAGCAACAGACGTATGCTTATGAACTTTCCATTGTTAATATTTTAAACTGGTTCGAAAATTTTCTGAAATAGTTTCAACATTTTTTGTGAAGGGGAAAAGGTATTTGTGGTCATTTTTGAAAATTAAGTGTGAAATATCTTGTGCTAAACTATAATTTTGGATACAGCAGGTTGACAGTGTGATATAAGTAAATGTAAAAAAAATTATCCGTTTTCAAACAGGGAGCAACTAATTCCCAAAAATATTCATTGATGATCCTTTTATATTGACAAAACAGTCTAGTTTGGTTTTTTTTTGGTTTATTTGCATCAAAATATACCCTGTAATATTCAGGACTTCTGCTAGTTGCATTATTTATGAGCTATTTTCTTCGTCATTTTGGAGTTCTCTTACATGTTTGAGGCAAATAAACATTTTTCTAATTAGTCTTGAAGGAGCCAACAGAAGAAGTTGGTTTATGTCTACATGTATTGTGTCACAGTATTTTGATGCCGGGCATTTTCTTAGTATTACCCTTCTGGTTTCTGAGATGGTATATTATTTATGTGTCTTGCACCTCTTTTCGAGAGGAATATGTATCGTCATACTGTTATCATTTTTTGGTTAGTTTTGCTCTGATGAATAAGTCCAGGGTTGTCATATTTGATATTTGATATGATGTTATAATGTGGATTATCAAGCTTGCTTTTGTTGTCAGATGAATCAAGTCAACAGAGAGATGATGATGGACCATTGCCATCTTGGGATGATGGTGGGTTTGATGGCCAATACGATGATGAAAATTCTTATAGTAATGTGGAGGATTCAAGCACACTTGTCTCTCAGCCTCGTCAGGTTGGTTTAATTCAGTCATCAAATCCCATTGTGTCTCAATCTGATGCTTAGTTGGGTGCTTTGGGTCTATCAATTCAGATTGTGCTTGTTTTAGATGTTCTATTTGTGCCTTCATGTGTTCAAGAATTTAACGAGGTAATGCGCGTACGAATTTTCTTGAATTGTATCTTTTATGGTTGCCAAGAAATTGAAATAAAAGAAAAGAAGTTCATGATTAAATTTTCAATCACTTGTTCTGAAGAAAGAAAATCAATCCCCAAATATTTATACTTCTCTTTTAATTGAACATTTGAGACTTTTGAAGTCTTAATAAAGACTGTCAATGTTTCAAAATAAAAGTTCTTTTCTATTTTTCTTTCTTCTATCATTTGTTGTGAACCGATTAGAACAGAATGTGGCAATATTTTTGTTATTTACTTTGATTGTATTTGTTAAATTAAACAGCTCTAGTATGCATTGAAATGTACAGTTTTGCTTCCTCTAACCAACACAGGTAAATAAGATTGAAGTGCAGTATGACAAAACGTCCAAACAAGTTGATGTTCAGGCACTGAAAGAGACTCTATGGAGCCATATACAAAATTCAAACCAAATGCTTGTCCAAGTAAGTTCCCCATTCCCCTCCTCTTGTGGCAACCATTTTGTAATTTTGGATATTTTTCCTGCTAATATGCATTCCCTGGTGTGTTGAAGAAAGAAGTTCCTATCTTGTTGAGGTTGTGTGCTATTTAGACTAAAATGGAAGTTTTTCTGCCTTGAGAGGATTGAAGCCCGAGCATATAATTCTTTTCTATCGTGTAGCAATTCATACACATTTCAGACTTCAGGAGTATGTTTGAAACTTCCTCGCCCCAATTTATTTCTTCTCAAAGAAGGGCATTGTCTGTTACTGTATGAAGTTGTAGACTTGTATGGCTAATTTTTTCTACTGATTAAGCATTTACGGTTGGCTTGAATTGAGTTGATAAACAGACATGAGGATCTTGAATTCTGGTCTTTTGATTTCTGGTTCCATGGTGATTGCTTAATCTACACCGTCATTGACTCTGTCAGGATGATTGCCTTTCTGGGAGATTAGAAATCAACCTGGTGTTTGCCAGCTGCATTATTGGGTTAATGAATTAAAGATACAAGTGAAAAAAAGAGGCATTATATAATTGAAATGGTGTCATAAAAGTTTTGAGTTAAATTGCATGACAGATAAGATCACAACATTTTGAATATAGAGTGTAAAGATGAGAATTTTGGGAAGACTACTTTTGGAGAATTCAGGATTTCCTCCCTAAGAAGCTGCAGCAATGGCTTTTTGTGATTTGGTTGAAGCTGAGCTGCTATTAGTGAAAAGCAAATATATAGTATAGGTGCATTGTCACGGAGTCTAGAGTATGAAGAGTAGCATTGGAGAAGGGCAAAATAAGTGAAATTGGAGATATAGTGGCTCTACAGATAAACAGTATTTTGTCAATAAAACCTTGATAATTATGAGAAGACTGTTTTCTGTAAATGAATTTTTTCTTTTTCTTTTTTTCTACTGCTCATGTAGATTCTTAGTATAACTTATTGCTGCTATGGCTTTACTAGTCTACTGGATATAATATATACGAAGTGAAGGATGATCAAGTGTTATGTCTAGGATGGGTCACTCCTCTTATATATGAATTGCAAATTCTAATATTGGCGTATTTATTTTATGAAAAGGCGCAGGAAGATACAGTATCATTTAGGGATATCTTGGCTACCTTTCCAAATGACTGCAAAGCAGCTGCATCACTTCAGGATCTGTCTCCACATTTATGTTTTATATGCTTATTGCATCTCGCTAATGAGCATGGGCTGGGCATATGTGGTAGCGCCAACTTGGATGATCTCAATGTACGCCTTCCACTTCAGTGCGACGTGCTTCAAGGTGCAGTCATCTAAAGCTTCACCACGTAATGCTACTTTTGCTTTGCTGTGGTGTGTATTAAATGTAACTTACTGGTGACATGTTAGTCAATAGGAATCCATTTGAAATTAGCACAGTCAAACTTTTTGTTATTATGTAACTGTATGAATCGTGTGTAGATTTGATGCCAAGCATTTAGTTAATGCTCACTTTACAACCGGTGTTGGAAATGAGTTTTGACATGCACTTTTTGTTTCAAAGACTTTTATTGACCGTTTTGTCATTAATAAAATTTTCAGTGAACCATGTAGCATTGTTTATTGTCAGAATAGGGTGAGGGGGGCAGAACTTGGTTGTTCTAGGATAGAACCATGGTTCAATTACCGGTGTATTATGATCTACTAATAGTGATGATTATGGAATACTTACCCAATAACAATGAGCAGAAGGGTCTATGATGAGGTAAAATTATATTCATGCAGTTTAACACTCTTGGCAGAATGCAACAATTTTATCCACGAGGCAGGAGTACAGGATAACATAAGAATAGTCATGAAAACTACACTCAATAATCCGAAACCAGATCTTGTTGTAGCCCTATTATTATCAACTTTGTCATATTGTCCTTTTAACTATGTAATAGCTTTTGACATTATTCCAAAGTCGAATAGCTGTTAGATTTTGGTAGGAAAAATGGCAAATGTAGCTTGTGAAATTTCCCTTCTAACTAATGTAAGTGGCTTTACATTATCTCAAAACCAAAGGGTATGTGTGCCTCTTTTGCCCACAATACAATGGACATTGGCTGTTCTTTGTTTTTAGTTTTTGTTTGTTTTTTTAGAATGGACATTGGCTGTTGGGGAAAGTGAAATCAATTTGAATAATGTGATCACAATCTCATCTAAGTTTCATGGGTGTACCTCTGGATAGTTTCTCACTCAAATCCAGAACAAAAGATACAGATTGAGAAGAGGGTTAACAAGATTGAAATGGGCATAGGAATGTTTTGATGTACTAGATTTGCTAATGCTTCTAGGTTGTTGCCATGATGACCTGGAATGATCTTCCAACAGTTTGTTAAAACAACTTGGACCAGTCTACCAATACAATTTAAAAATCTTCATTATCCAGTGCTATTGAATTGGTAGGAATTTCAGCAAATTGTGTCAATAAATGACCTTATTTTAATCTATTTTGATTTAATGACACAAAATTTATCCTATTTTTTTTCGCTCCAAGTCATAATTTTTTTATGCACAACTCTAAGACCAAATAACTCAATCAATACACTCCTTAATGTTAATTAATCTTATTAATTCACACCCACTTTTCTATTCTCTATGTCGTACTTCTCTCTTTTCAATTTAATTTTAAATTGTGTAATTAAAGAAAAAAAAAGTAAAAATAAATTATATTTAAAATAAAAATATTGCACAATTAATATTTGATGTTTATTATGACAGAGTGTCTTCAGTATGAAACTTTGGTTGGTTGTTTAGTATGGCTGTATCTCTTTCACGTTTGAGTAGGAGTCACACGTGAAGAATGTGTTAAAAGCTCTGTAAAAATTGTAGACCCTTTCTTGTTGATAATCAACCAACCACCACAAGCTTGTCGAGTTCATAGAAAAATAACGGAAAGAAATAATAAAAAGAGGTGAAATCAAGTTCAAACACAGTCCCATAAGATACCATGCAAACCTCTTCTTAGTGTTCTGTCCAAGTCTGTCAAGAGTGAAATGGGGCATGTTGAAACTGGGTTTGAGAAAAGATGTGAGAGAAAAATGAGGGTTCTACTCAACTGAGTTTCTACTCCTTGAATGATCTGGAACTTGTTCAGTCATTTGTATGCAGAACATTCCGACTCAACCCACCTGTTCCACTGCGAATAAGCTGGACTATCGACTGGAGAAAGATGAACAAATGGCCACTATGTTTCTGTCAATAATCTCAACCATATGTTTCTCTGATCATGATTCAGGCAATCAATGATACGGTACAACACGGGTGACAATGTTCTATATAGGCATTAGAGTGGTCATTTGATCACAATCTGTACTTTTAAAGAGTCTTATAACTTCAATTAACTAACAAATTCTAAAATGAAAAAATAAAGTGGTAAGACTCTGCTTTTTTTACAGATCAGCTGCTTCCAACGGGAGACAATAGAAAATAAAACTTCTACGATTTGGATCGATGATTCAATCAAGATGCTCAAGTTCGAGTCATGCCCACTTTGAACTGAGACCAGATTACAATACTTAATTGAGATGGTTCCATATGAGGCAGTCTGGATTTAATGCAGATTGTATATTTCATCGAGATTGAGTACTAGATTTGGCAGCCCCTTCTTTCCATCCTCTCTGACGAGCTCTCAACTCCCACATTGTAGTCAGTCTCTTTTGTGCCAATAAAGTTGCTTCAGCCTTTTCCCTCGCTTCTTCACATGTTTCCATTCCTGAATTGCACTTGTCTGCTTCCTTCTGATACTGGGATGTCATCTTCTTGGCCTCGAGCAGTGCCATGTCGGCACGCTGCTGACTTTCCAAAGCTTCGGCTTCCCTAAGCTTTAGTTCCTCAGACAAAAGTTCTGTGAAATTCTTTTCTGTGTCGTCAGTGACTTCTGGATCATGTTTCGCACAATCTGTGTGATGACAACCGAACAAAGAAATTTTACAAGGTTTAAGAATTAGAATGAAACAATAGAGGTCCCCAGAATTCTTGAACATAACATTTAGGAGGAACAAATCCATCTTTTATTCACGAAGACCAAATAAATCCTTCCAAAACAGTGAAACAACACGATGGATGATCCAAAATTTGAAAGCATGTCATTCCCTTGAAATCTCTACTCTAGGGGGGATTAAAACAAAAGCTGCCAATTAGTCCTGTTTTGATATTCTTACCTGATACTCAATGTTACTGATTTCAGATGCTATAGTAGCCCAAAAAATGTTGGGACCACTTAGAAAAGCAAGTAAAAAATTATTACATTTCCATGAAATTGGCTGAACTCACATTCCAAACAATTTTTTTTTAAAATCAATTTCACTTGGTGGGTAACATGGAAATATAAAAGAGAAACGCGAAAGGCGACATGAATTATTTCGGAGAATATGTCATCAGCTGCTAATATTGGAACACCCACAACTTGACAAAACCACCTACACCAGGGTATATGGACTCGATCACTTTCATTGGCTTGACTAAGACACTACGAATGTAACAATATGGATGTCTCTTTCACTTAACTTTCCCTTTATTCCAACATAAATAAAGATAGCGTGTTAAGGCTTCGCAAAGAAAATATTGTTTGTGAAATCATAAACAAAAGAAACATATAGGAAATTGTTTGCCATCGTACTAACCTGCTAAGGAAGTATTTCTTAGCCCTGCAAGAAACATATAAAACAACCAAAGTAAGCACATATTTGACCACCAAAATAGTTTGAAAGTAAATGTAAGAAAGACATTATCAAGATTTAGTTTTAACTAATCTCCATATGCAAACAGCAAGCATGACAAACTTAGCTTGCCACATTTGACACAAGAAGCCCAAGATATTAACAAAAATATACTATTGGAAAATTTTCAGAAACATATATGTAGTAATTGGGGGCACACTCATCAAAACATGGGACAAGGGCACCGCTGTTTAATGATTAAAATTCGGCCCAATAAACTCGATGTTGTGGGTTTGAATATGAAGGCAGTCCCTTTGAGCAAGTAATGCCAACTGTTAGGTACATACAGCTTTCCCCTCCAAGATCCCATTAGTGCAGACTAAACTGGGCTGTACTTTTTAAATTCGTTGAAAAATTGGAAGATAAATTTATATTAAATTATTTTTCAATCAGATCTCCATGTTATACATGTATCAATATACGTAATCCTCAACAGAAGATGTTAAATCACAGACGAAGAGTAGTAGGTTCAGTTCCCAAGCTTGAAACAGAACTACTTTTGGTGGACTCAATTGACAGAATTGATTTTATGTTACAAGCAGAAGAGCTAGAATACATGCAATCTTGAGCTGTTAATGATGTTACAGCTTTTATACTCCAGCAAATGCTTCTGGGAGAAATTCCTATAAATGGCTGGGGAGTAAGTTCCCAATATAAGCAAAGGACATACAGGCCAAGCAATACATATAAATGGAACGGGGTAAACTACCTAATTCTCTGATAAACACACAAATCAAAATCACTTGTCATCCCTTTCCATCCATTTTTCCTTTACACAAAAGATTGAAACAAAAATAATGTATTTAAGGCAGGTCACACAAAACATCCGGGAATTTCCAATACATGCATTGGAAAGATTGACCGACCAGAGAGATGACAAATCACAAGGAAGAGATGGCAAGACCAAAAAAATCCACTCTACTATTTAGCACAACAATTGACTGACATATTCAAAATAAAAAGATCCTTTTAGGAACCCAAATGAAGTGACGTCTCTTTGTTCTTAATGAACATTTCATCTCATTGTTTTTTTCTCTTTGTTAAATAATTTTTATGATAATTTCTACAATAATGCTCTTTGCTATTCTTTCTTTCCCCTTTTTCCGTAATGCCTCAATGGCATAAAATGATATGATACAGCATAAGAATACGATACGGCAGAAGTTTGTTAACAGACATACTCTTGGGTATGTTCCTTAGGCAAGATGCGGTTAAGTGTCTTTAGATGAACTGATGTGAAAAAAGGCGAAGGTAAATTATCGCACAACTTGGTATTGATTGAATTGCCAAAAGAATAAGATCTAGGAAAAAGTAGACACTAAAAAGGAAAGGCCATTGGAATCCTGAACTTGGAAAACTTTCTAAGCCTTAAACGTATATATGATCTACAGATGTTCCATTAAAAGCACTTCTTCATTGAAAACCCATATGCGCAAAGTTTATATATTGAGTTCTTAATACCATCTCCCAAGTAGGATTGGGTAACCAAAGGTAGCTTAAGTGATAATAATGACGAATTGGAAACCAAATGTCATGTATTTGAATCTTGTCAATCCCTTGGCCCCGCCATGAGGGATTTATCTCCTATCAAGACCCTAATCCCGGTGTGGATGGTCAAGGCACGAGGGGAGGGGAGGGGAGGGGAGGGGAGGAGATTAGTGAAGGTGAGCCTAAAGTGGCCCAAACACCCCACCCGTTGAAAGAAGTAGGACTGGGAAACAGACACAGGAGAAGGATGCAAAGCCAACTTGCTATCTCTAGCCACAACCATTCAAAGCATATACACATATCTTAAATAAAAACTAGTACAACTATATAGACTAAAGTTCGGCTTGCTCTTTAATGTAGTTTGGGAAATGGTTCAACATCGAAATCTGGAACTATTTTCAATTAAAAGGATAAATGTGATGAGCCTGAATTTGACTGGGCCAAACCCAATTTAAATAAACCAAGGAAGCTCAAAGAAGAACCCAATCGGAGCGGGGTCAACCCATCAAGAGGAAATCTAAAAAGACATCAAGAGGTCAATGCCCAAAGCAACCAAGAGGCTAGTGCCAAGGATCCCCAAAGGTGAGCGCCACCCATATGGTCTCCAAGGGGCACTGCCCATGGGCTGGCTCCATGCCTCTTTGTCGTCCTCTGCTTTCTCCTCCTTATTCTTCATCAACACCATTGGAATTACTTCGACTCAAGTCCAGTCCACTCCAACTCAAAGCTCAGGCTCAGGATCAAGCCCAATCTAATTCAGAATTATCCTCCGACTTAATAAGAACACGAGGAAAAACATATCGGGATACGGAGATCCAATCCTACTAAAATTGTACTTACAAAATGGTAGAAACCCCTTTTCTCATGTCACCGCCTCATCGCCTTAGTGAACCTATATAATGTAAACACACTACACAGAGGGCATCACCTTGAAATCTCTACATATCTCGTATGTAAGCTCTCTACACATAGAGGACATCACCTTGAAATCTCTACATATCTCCCTACACACGTTGCTTTATCTCTATCTCAGCACTGTAATACTCCAGGAGAATACCCTCTCCAGTGACTTCATTAATAAAAGACTCCGGCCACCGTTGCAGTTCCCAAGAATCGTTCATGAATTCTCAGTCAGCAGGCAATAGTTAATGGTTCAAATTTGTCATAGATTTTGGCTTTGTGACTGAAAATCCACATTGAATTTTTCAATAGAAAAGTGAAGAGAACATTTTAGGTTAAGGCCAAGGACAAGAAGAGAGTGGAATAGGTCATCCGAACTGAACCACAATAAATCTCAGTGTTGGCTCTTTATTTACAGCTTTATTATTAATTGATTGCTTAAGGCTCATTAACTGCACCCCTTACGCATGTCGAATTTTGCGCAATAATGCTTAAAGTTTATACCCATATGGATGAAAAGCTAAATTAAGACAAATTGAGACAGTAAAATGAAAGAGATCTAGAAGATCTGGAGAGAGATACCTTGGGGAATAGTTAGCAAAGGCTGAGAAGAACAATCACAGTTGCAAGGTGGGCAAGAAACGGAGGAAGAAGAACGGCTCACAGCGGCCAAGCCTTCAACAATATGCCAGTACAAAGGTGGACCCACTATGTATCCGGCCAAGCACAGTGCCATCAACCCCAACCCTGCCTTTAACACTCCCGGACTGCATGATCCAGCCTGATTCAGAGCCATTACTCTCTCTTTCTCTCTCACTAAGTATCTATATCGACGTCTATCTCCAGAGTCTTAGACTGGTAGGAGCAAAGGAGGTCAGACATCAGAAAGTGAAAAAGGGTAACTATGGGTGGACATTGACATTAGAGACAAACTCACAAAAACATTAGAAAAAAGAGACCCTTTTTTTGGAGGATTTGTTCCTCTCTCTGTCTCTCTCCCCTAATTATAATGAATTAATCATATTAGAACTTAGTAAATTTAGTCTAATAATCTAACTTAGGATAACTGATATAACACAATAATTAATTATTTTTACTATAGGGTATCTAGATTTCCACCTATTATTTTCTCGAGTAAACGATCACCATGACTTGAATTGAATTGTGAATTAGAGCATGTTCATGTGAGCTGAATTATTGGTTAGAATATCTTCACAAGGAATAATGGTGGTGGACTCTTAAAGGAGTTTAAGAAATGATTGGGACGTCTGAGTTATCAAAAGTTCAAAGTCAACCAATAAACCATCTCTAAAAATTATTAATCCTATAATATAGTTATTATTACAATTATTTAACTATTAAGCCCGAATAATGTAATTCACATGATTATTATTGAATTGATATAATATGCTGTAATATTAACAAAGTGGTGACCATGCATGAGTTTATTTTTTATTTTTTATTTCCAATCGTCATGCATGAAATCTTTGTTTCACTCTATCCTATTTTGATATTATAAAAAACTACCTATTAAATCTCCATCCCAGTTTATTCAATTTTTGATATTTTAAAAAAAATGATTAATTGTACTGTAGGTCCTTAATGTATGCGATTTATCTTATTTTAGTCTTCAATATTTTAATTGCATCATTTTAGTCTTTGAATTATTGAATATATTTCTATGTGGTTCATCAAACAGACATCGTTCAGATTGTTAACAATTTTTTTATTATAAATTTATCACGTAATACATAAATATGGACAACAAATAATTTCAATAACTTTTGATTAAATTTCTACCCAAATTTTGATTAAAGAATTATCCAAATTGCACAGTTTTGATTATGAGTTATTCAAATTTTGGTCAAGAGCTAACTATATTACACATTTTTTGTCAAAAACTACCCAAATTTTAGTCAAAAGCTCTCCAAATTATTTTTCGTATATATTTAGGTATTAAGTGATAAATTTATGATAAAAAATATAACAATTTGGATATTGTCTGCTTGAGGAACTACATAAACCAAATTGTTTAATTAAATAATGAGAACCAAAATGAGATGAACTCTATTCTTTGGGGACTTAGTACAATTAACCCTAAAAAAATGGTTTATTAATGGGTTCAATAATATTTCAAATTAGTATTTACATGGCCAAAAAAAAAAAAGTTACAAGAATAATAATAATGGGAGTGGTTATGATAGTTTTTTTTTAAATATTTTTTTATCACTATTTTGAACTTTTACGAGAGAGAGAGAGAGAGAACGCTGAGGTTTGAACTCGTAATCTAGCGGTTTAATTGCACCTTATGGTGACCGTTATGCCAACCACTAATCCTCCTGTTATAATAAGTTTAAGAAATTTGATGTGCTGAAGTCATTTAGTGCAATAAAGTAAGTTAAAATTTGAAAACTTTAGGAAGTAGAGAAAAATGACTTCCAAGTGCTTACATTTCTATTTGATTGTTACATATTAATAGATAATTCGGATTTATTGTCAATTGATTTTCAAATTAAATTATCACAAAAAAATTAACCATTCCCTAAACGTGGCAAAACAATTTAAGCATCTATATTGCCATTAAATGAGCAACAACCCCTTCTAAAATGTATTTTTTTTTAATAGCAATGTTACATAAATTTAAAAAATAGACTTGATAATTACAATTATAAATTTTACTGTGGGTACTAATATTTATTGCGAATGAATACCTATTTAATAATTATAATTTTCAAATTTAATTTTTAAATCTATATAACATTACTCATGTACGGTTGATTCAAACAAATAGTTCTTTCCTGGTACATAATTTTTAATTTATCTTATCAAAAAAAAAAATTAGTACATAATTTTTAATTTATTAAAAATAAATTGAAAAAATCTTAAGGGCTAATGTCACTTTATACCATAAAGGATATTTTAATTCTTAATTTATACCCTTAAACATTAAATATCTTAATTTATATTCTTAATATTATGAATTGGTAGTAGTGTGAATATTGTTTATACTATCGTTCAATTTTTTATCCTAAATTGAAGTACGTGAGTTACAAGTGTTTTAATCATTGGCTTATATTTTCACAAACTATTGGCGTCTCGTGTGAATTGTACATGATATACTTAACCTCTAATTAAATCTTATTTTTGATACATAAAACAATGTCAAAATGAGCGCATACAAAAATCTATAGCGATGGACACACCTCATTTTCATATTCGAAGCACTTACATTACAACCCATCTATTTCAATTTATGATAGAAAATTAAACAACAGTCTGAATGAAGTCCATATTTCTATGAATTCATAATATTGAAGAGATAAATTAAAATTTTTAATATTTGAAAGTATAAATTAAAAATCGAAATATCTTTTGGGTATGAAATAAAATTATCCTAAATCTTAATCCCATTAAAAAAAAAAAAAAAAAAAGCAGTAGAACTGTAGAGCACCTAACCCCCTGACCTCCTCCCGTACCCCCTCCCTTCCTCGGTCACTGAAACAACTCACACACACACACACACACACACCCAAACCCAAATTCGATTGATGTAACAAGATTTCGAAATGGCGTTCGATATCCCGACGGATCTGATCCGGCAAGTCCAGATCTCCCTCCGAAACCAAGCCGGACTCTCCGACTACGACCCGGAAGACCCGACCCTGCCAGCCCTCCCTTCCCTTGGAGCTTCCATCGCTGCGTATGACCCTTCGCCGCCGTACCTTCGGTGCAAGCATTGCAAAGGGAGACTCCTCAGAGGCTTACAGTCAGTGATATGCGTATACTGTGGTAAACCGCATCAAAACGACGTCGCTCCTGAACCCATCTCCTTCAATTCCACATTTGGGTATCGTTGGTTGCTCGAATCACTCGACCTAGAAGAATCCGTCAGTGTTTACACACGCATATTGATAACATATCTATATATAATTGTCTACGTACACACGCTCCCCCCCCCCCCCCCCCCTCTCTCTCTCTCTCAATCTCACACACCCACACACACATATTGATAGATTTATACTATGTCGTTGGAATGTAGATGGGTACTAATTTTGTCTAATCATGAGGCCCAAGGGTTGGATTGGGTTGCATTGTATGGCCAAGGGCTGCATTGGGTTAAATCATTTAGTAAAAATCAGAGTTTTGGGGTTGTTTTGATTATGAGTTGTTGAAATGGAGCGGTATGAAATGCTTTCTTGATATGTGTGGTTAACATTAATTGCAAGGAACCATGTTTGCTTACTTTTGATCTTGCTTTATAAGTGCTTGGTTGGGAGTTTTTAGCTGGTGGGTTGCTTGGAAAAGTTTTAGAGATGGTTGATTGTATAGGGAAAAAGATTTAGGGGGTGAGCTTTGTGAGTTTGGACATTCTTTATGTCTTTGAATTGACTTTTGGCATTTTTTGATTGGTTAACGATTTCAATTTTCCGTACATGGTATTGAAAATGACGATGATTCAATTGGGTTTGTTCTTTGGATTGCAATTTTGCTAATACAAAAAGGAGGAGCTGGTATATAATATTGGTGGGTGATAAAATTGTTACTTAAAATTTAGTTTCCTGAGATTGTAGAGGTAACTGGTTGACATGTGCGAGTTCTAGGGATGGAGATGGGTGCATCAAAAAGTGCAGCATGGATTGTTCTGCCACATACTAATTTGAGAAGCTATATGTGACACTCTGAACGTCAAAACACATTCTTTTGTTCTGTCATCTGGTTTCCTCTTTTGTTTTTTAATATTCTGAAATTTTGAGTGAATAACTGCTTATTAAAATAACCATATTCATCATTTCCAGGAAAAGGTTGGAGCATCTGGAGAAGAAAATGAATTTAAGAGAGGACAGAGTATGCCAAAAGAGGATATTTCATTGTCTGAACTCTTAGATTTGAAAATTGCATGGCCAGCTGAGCGGAACAAACCGGAGATTACTGTCACAAAGCCAACCCTGCAACCGAGCAACACCTCTTCAAATTTTACTGGAGTTGACCTGGACAACTTCTTTTCAGGTCCAAGGGGTGGTACTGTGCTCAACATATCTCAAGAACAGCCAGGAATAAACGAACAGATTGAGAGTACACACAGTAAAGCATTTGCAGGTCTAGATAATCCTAGTGTATTTCAGAATGTTCAACCTTCTGAGACAGCTATCAGGTCTTTTGTAGATGAGAGTGGTGATGCATTTTCTGGATGGGAGGCAGATTTTCAGTCTGCGAATTCTGGAAATCAACCTGAGAGTGCCAAGTCAGTTGATCCTTTTGTAGGTTCCACAGTTGATGTTTCCACCCACAGGGGCTTGGTGTCTGGACGGACAAAAGACTTCAAAGATGGAAAATTGAAGGACGATTCCACCCCTTCTCCTTCTGTGAGTAATGATTGGATTCAAGATGATCAATCGAATATTCCCCCTATGGTGTCTCAGCAGGATGATCAAATTGATGCAACAATAACACTGAAGGATGATCCATCCCTCCCTTCTGTGACTAATGATTGGATTCTACAGGCTGAGAAGTTTGATGACATTGTTAAAGCTAAGGAAGATCCAGGGCTTGATGATGCAAACAAAGCTTCTTCTACAAGTGTTGGTTGGCTTCAGGATGATCATTGGCTAGCAAACAACAAGAATGCACCCAACAATAAAACGATTAATGAAGACAATGATTCATTCGATGAATGGAATGATTTTGCAATCTCAAGTATTGCTCAGGACCGTTCTACAAGTGCCTGGACACAAAGCGGTAATGAAAGTGCAGCTGTTAATGAACAGGCTTCAGAAAGAAGCTTTCTCAGCTCAACTAACAACTTTGAAGATATGGATTTTGGTAACTTTTTGCATCCAGATCCCTTTTCTGGTTCGCTTGGCAATCAAAATGGATCTGCAGGGGAGAATAATATCCTGCCAGAAGTTACTGCTTCAAACAGGTGCGTAGCCTTTCTCACGAAAAAGACACTTCCTTGATTAATTTCCTAAGCAGTTAAATTTGCTGGCATGCCAAAATGGATTACAGTGATTAAGGTGATGAGCTATTCTTGTAAACTATTTTTAAGACGTAAAATGCCTTTCTTACAGGTGCAATTTTGTGTAATACTTATAGTAGGACTAATTTCCTTGTTGCGTGGCTGCCTTAAACCAAAATAGGATACGGAATAATTCACCCTTTTTCATAAACCTCCCAAAGTATGGTTTTCTATTCATAGGTGAATTTAAGAAAAGAGTAGAGATATAGTCCCATCGTCTATAACTCAGATCAACAACTCCTCTTTTAATTGAAGTTTAAACTCGTTGCATTAGGAAATGGAACCATTAGGGTCTACTGTATTCAAGCTTAAGAACTTCTTCTTGCATCTCTTTGTACATGTTTAGGATTGCTGATGCCAAAACCGAGGTTGGAGGTGATGGTGGAGAAGCTGCTGAGAGTATAGACATTTTCAGTACTACCACACGGCCAAAGGATGATGTAGAGACGCTGCTTTCACAGATGCATGATCTTTCTTTTATGCTAGAAAGCAATCTTTCAGTTCCCACAAAATTAGATAGTCTTAATTCTTCTGCCCAAGATTGAGACCCAGTTAGTGTTTTCCAGGGTTCGGATATGTACTCATGTTCATTGTATTTACAGCATGTATTGTGGGACTAATAGTTGCACGAAAATCCCAATGGCTTATTAATTTTTCCTCTGGTGATAGTATGCAGTATAACGAAAACACACTTCAGCTGCAATAACTTGCACATACATGGTTACCCAAAAAGCAAAATTGCACATCCTTTCTCAGCAACATTTTATATGTTTATTGTACTTTTTATCATTTCAATAAGGACATATACTCTAGGGCCTAACATTTGATAGTCATCAATAGAGAAATTTTACGGTGCCCAAAAAATTAAATTTTGGTACCGTATTACTTATTATTTTTTATAAGTAAAATTACAATTTAAAAAAAAAGAAGTTATAATTATTCAAAGGAAAGTTATGATCGATTACAAATACTTATTATCGATCATGAAAATTTTCGTATCGATCCCAACTTTTCATGATCGATTATACCTTTTAAAGTTATAATTTTTTTTTATTTATTCTTTAAAGTAATAACTAATACAAAAAAAATTATAATTTTTAGTACGGTAGTGTCGGCAGTACCATAGCCTTTCTCGTCATAAATATTCCAATTGGGTGTGAGAAATTTCTCAAGAGCAATATAACGCTGAACTATCTCAAAGATGGACCAGCCACTAAATGTTGAATTGCTTTCCCATCTCTACTAACTATTATATGGATAGTGCCATTGTTTGCTCGTAGGCCTACACATTATCTGGGTTTTCCTTTGACTATAACCAAAAGAGTGTCAAGCAGCTTAGATTCTTAGAATGTCATGCATCAACAATAAAGCTTAGACCATAACATGAACAACATTTTCATAGGGTGGTGGGGAGTTGGATCTGGTCATGATCTGAGGTAACCGAAATAAGACAGCATTTCATGCCGAACACTACCCCGCCCAAATGTTCCTGCGGGCGCTAACCATACCTAAACCAAGGAAGTAAGACAAACATAAGTGAATCCCCCATGTTTGTATGATATACGAGATACGATATAACATTGAGTAAAATTGAAAGAAATGCATTGCAAAGGCGGCTTTAATTAGTTCTTACTGTTTTGTTTCTCCACTATAAATGTAGAGGATGATGCACAGGTTATAGGCTTACAACAAGGTGTATGTTTTTATCCGGTAAGTGACACAGTATTAGTTACACATAACAATTAGGATTCTTCCTGAACTGTGTTGTGAACAAATCATGTGTCCATATAACCTGCAAGCGTAAGTGACATAGTTGCACCTCGTCTAGGGTATGTTCATGAGCTTGAATCCCCCTCCGGTGGTTTATTCCACTTGACACTCTGTACTTTGAAAAATAACTCTGCCAGCATTGACATGGCTCCTGGGTGGCCCTGCAAACATAAAGTGGCATTAGATAACTTGAACATGATGTAAGTAATCCTTAAGGGCCTTCAAATTCTGACAGAAACAAGAAGTCATCATAGGAATTTCTTGAAAACTAGATCAGTCAATGGATCGAATTTTGATCCGAATCTAATTAGTTGGACGTGGATTGGTATGCTAATTGATAACCCATGTCTAAATCCGAATTCGTGATATTATATTTTATGGATTCAGATTGGAGATACCTATTTTTGATAAGAATTTAATTTGAACTAGTCACATATATAGATATATAATCAAATTGCATGATTATTTGAAGAAAATAAACTAAAAATTCAAGTCATTTGTTAAAATTTAGCTTAAATAAGTCTTTCATAATGGATTGGATTTCCAAATCTAACGTATTTGGATAGATAAATGCATTGGAGATGCTCATGTAAAAAAAAGCATTTCAATAAAAACTAACAAAAGTTGGTAAGCTTCCAAACTTGCCCTCTTATGCATGCCACTATTAGAGATTCTGTGGTGTTCAACTGTTATAGAGGGAGGGAGGAAGTACCAACAAGTTCTGACATCGAGGAAATTTGGAAAACCTGCAAACCAAATTGTATGTGGATGCAAGTTCCATGTCTGTAAGGGTTTATGCACAACTTGCTACGCCTAAACTGTGCAGAAACATACACTGTTCACCAAGGAAGTTAAGAGGAGATGATGGACTTACATGAAGAACTTGAAGTAAGGAGCGGTCTCTTAACTTGGTTGGCAAGCAACGGTTTAGTGCATGACAGGCCCTGCATATCAAAACCAAGTATCAAGAACAATTCAAGGAATGCTTAACCAGTACTTCAGAAAACAATCTGAACAATCAATCCAGTGAAGCAGAGTCAAAATTTATGTGACTGACTTTGGCTCCTCTGATAGTTTAAGGTAACATCTAATAATGTGGCTCAGCAGCAATGGACAGGGATTTTTGCCAACTTTTTCTATCATGCCAGCCAAAACTTTTGCCACTGCAAAAAACCTATCCGCAGAATCACAGCAGTACTTTAGGCCTTCCTTTTGCATCAGAATCCTTGAAACTATATAGGTTGCCACCTGTGTAGCCAAATCATATTCTCAGGCCATGTCATTCAACAGAGTCAGAAAAACCTGTAAGGAAGCGTAAGAGCAAATTGCAAAAATTGTTTGCCAGAAAATAATTTGTTTCACTGCCACTATAGGAGCTTTCCCCTTGTTTGAATCGTATACTCGTTCCATATCTATTGCAGTGAAAAGTTGGTATTTAGCCCAGCCAAAAATTATTGTTTTGATTTCTCTAGTGATGCCTATCCAATATTAGAAAGTTTTTCCTTTCATGAGACATGAGAGAACAAGATATAAAGGTGCCAGCACAGTACATTACCACAAATTTATATCACTTCCCAAGCAACTCAAGTTTTTTAAGCTACCTCATGCTGTACTAATTTTGTAAGGAAGAGGTGTTATAACATAAGATGTCATTGGTGGCATGACATTGGAATAATAGCAAGTTAACATTTCAACCTTTCAAGGCCAATGATGAGCCTTGTAAAGAACACACAAAGAGATGCAGAGGGGGTGAAAATACAAAAGGGGGGGGGGGGGGGGACACAGAACCTAAAATCTCATCTGCAAAGTATCTCCCACCGATATCGACAGCCACTCCTAGCTTTTTGAAGCGCTTAGAGTTAATTAAACTCTTCCAATGTTATATCTCATTTTCCATGAGTTCTTGCATAGAACTTAATCTTCTTAAAAAACAAAGATCTAATAACATGAAATATCATTCATTTGCATAAATCAGTATTATGTGGAACTCACTGTTTGTGAATCTTCCTGGCCCACATCCATGCAGCGTAGGCAAATAGGAAACACTTCTGTTTCTAGACAAAAATGGATAACTTGTGGGCTATGTAAATCATCAACCTGCATAAAATTGAATATCCAAAACGTAACTGAAGAATTCAAATTCAACAGACCGAATTTGCTGATTACCAGCTGAAACTTTAACCGAGTATGGGGTTCTGAGCATAGGTATTACTACTATATCATGTGGAGTACAAAAGTCAAGTTAATTTGTTCGCTTTACATGATATAGTATTAATTCCTATGCTCAGAATTCCATATCATTCTCACATGGATAAATGTCAATCAATAAATATCTTCTTTTTGTATAAGTGGAAAAAAAATTCAAGAAGAGATATTGCACAAACTCAAAACATTTGTCCTTCCTTGGTGGCAAGTTGGTTACTGTGCACTTCATGCATGCCCTACATTGCATTTTAAGTCGAGTAATAAAACAAAATATGAACCTGGAAGCCAGATCTAGAGGGTAATTTTCCTTCATACACTACTATTAACATTCACCTGCCTTATTCAGGAAAAAAGGGTGTAAAAATGGCAAAAACAGCCATATTGAAGCTATATAGATTAGTTACTTTTAGAAGCCACAGATCAATTAATAAGCAGGTTCTTGCAAAGGGCATGGGCATGCGCCATGGGAGCAGTGGACAGAAACTCCAAGTGTCCAGATTTTCTACGGGATTTGCAGTAGAAGGTTTGAAATCAAAATGTATATGGATAAGGACTTCCCTCCACTAAGTTGCCTGAGCAATTATGTACTCATAAGATATAAATAATTTTGGAGTAGCACAAAATTAGTAGAAGAAATTAGTGTACCAAAGGAGTCAGGGTGACAGAATATTCAGTATTATTTAAGGAGGACCAGCACCTTCACTAGGGCACTAAGAACAGTCAAGCCGGTGATCCTCAAATGCTCGAAAGGCTTCCCCTTCTCGGTGGTATTGAGTAAAGGATACAAATAAACTGGTATCTTGGCTGCAAAGGATGAAATCCAGTTCGAAGAGTCATCACATTGCTAAAATCAATCAACTAACAATCCTTCCAACTAATGATAATAACAATAAGAAAATTCCTTACGAGGTTGAACTCCACAGAAATACCAAAACCTCATATTGCAACAAAATAGGGGTCACTTTGAAACCATTACAGGAAGGTTAAACCATTTCTTTTTTCACACTCCTACACTTTAAGTTTTTGATATATGGCTAGGGAGATTTAAAAAAACTTGAATAAAAAACAGATCGACTCCCAAGAGGGGAGTAACAAGTCACAGAATTAAAAAATGGAAGTGTGGCAGAAACCCTCACTTCTTCTATAATTACTCTTTGAATGGACGGGGTTTGTATTTATTTTTTTCAAAGTGATAGGAATGAAAAAAGTAATATGCGAGATTCAAAATGTTGATACAAATAGCATCTTGACATTTTCTAAAACATTGGAAACCACAGTTTCTGAGCTTGATCAACAATAGAATCTGCATCCACAATGAATAGAAGTAGTCCAAAATGGAATGAAATTCATCTCCTACGATACTATTATAAACAGACATAAAGGAGTGACATCTACGGTGACATCACATGAAAACATGATACAAAACTCCCTGCATGTTTGCACAGACACGCTTGTCTCATTTAATTTGATTTGTAATGATAAGAAACCAATATGTAACTTGAAGTTCAGCGTGATCTCAAAGAATGAAGGAGAATACCCCTGATGAGTTCCATCCTTGTATATGGATCAGCGGCCAGACACTGCAGGGTAAGAGAGGCAAAAAATGGTATAGCAGTTAAATTCACAGAAAAATTGTTCATCTTTTTATGTACATGACTATTATGGGTGTCCTAAAATAGACAATCACATATATGACAAGTTTTCTCTTGGTTAAAGTTTTTAACATTCCGAAAAACCTCTAGACCAATCTCTCTCATCCCACCATGTTGCCTCAGTTTCTCTAGCTTGCCAAAACTCCTAATAACCAATCAACACTTAGCTGCCAACCCCTCCGCCACCACCTCCATTGCCACTCTCCTCAGATCACTCTCTACCAGAGACCTCCCAACCACAACTTAACCTCACACATTACAATTCCCATCGCTCCACTCGCCTGAAGCCTATTTTATTTCTCTCTCAAGTCACCAAGCCTCCGCAAGGTTTAGTTGTCAAATATCCTTGGACAGTGAATTCTTTTTTATGTACATATATACCTCATATACATATATGTATACATTCTCAAACATACGTACATATGCACATATTCATACATGTAGTCGAGATTTAAACTGTTTCAGAGAAGTTTAGTTTTGGTATAGAGAAAAACAAGAGAGTCCAATTTTGGCTTGGTTTCGAATAGAGAAACTAGAGATAAAATGGTGGTGATATGTGGCAAGACCAATGAAGCAATGTAGTGGCTTATCTGGTCTAGAGAGCTAAGTGACCAATTCCCCACTTTAAATTGTGAGTGGGTGCCGAATTGTTACAGTGAGAACTCTGTTTTGTGAAGAACTTAGATAAAGGAGGATGAAAGTGTCTATTTAAAATTTTAGAAAGGATTTTATATAACCTCCCGTGGTTTGGTCCCTCAGCATATAACTCCCTATCACCTTCGAAAATAACTGTATAACCTTAATGTGGTCTATGGACTAAATGCCTCCATAATTTCAATACTATTGGATAGAAACTATGCTCAAACATGTCTAATTTTGTGCCAAAGTCAAACTTCAATGCAAAAAAACAATTAAGTCTTTGTAATGTTTGAAAAAGGAAAAAAAAATGCCCCTCCTTTTCTTCTGCCCTTTTTCCATCTTCTTCCTTCTCTCCAATCAGCCAATTCAATTGATTCCACACACTTCCAATTCCTCGCTCCTATTTCTCTCCTTTTATCGTATTATTAATATTTGTTCAATAAATTAGAAAAATGGTTAAATACTCATTGTATGCAGAGAAAAGAGCAAGAGTGCATTCAAATGCCGACCTAGCCGGATGAATCCAATATCACTGGGGAATAGCAAGTTGTCCTATGTATTCTGTATAAAGGATCTGTAGACAATAGTCTCGTAACCTATACTCAGTTCATCAAGTTCATCAACAAACCATTATATATTTGTTTTATGTTTCAACTTCATTGTCCAATTAATCTTATAAGCATAAATCTCTTTGGTAGTGGCAAAGTGCCATCAATGGAGTTAGGTGTGAACTACAAAAATCTCATGAAAGTTATGAGGTTACTTTTAAAAGCGAGGGGATGAAGCGTAGAGGGCTCTAACCACAGGTGAGTAAAGTGAAGTTTGCCTTATTTGAAATTAACTGCTTTCAAATATACTATGTTTTGTACCCATCGGATAGATTTTATGTGCTTTCCTAGTTTACAAGTTACATAGCAAGTGTAGGCAGGTTTATTTATAATGTGTAAGATCATTATTGATTGCCTTACGCATCGGAAAAGTTGCGTGGTACATCCGGTTTTTAATATGGCATCAAGAGGCCATAGAATATGACCATGTAGAGAATCCATGGGTTTGACTAATTAAGACTGTGGATTGATATGGATTCGCTCTGACCTTAGATTCAGATGTTCACGTAGGTGCCTATCTAATTTGGTGAATTAGGGAACTATGGTAGAGAGAGGCCAGATAGAGGTACTTGAAAGAAGATGAGGTGTTTCTGCACTTATAAATTATCCAACAACGCACTTCACATTTTGCGTTATCCTCGCATTGCCATACTTTGGACTTCACAATAAAACTGCTCTATGTTCTAATCGTCTAAGGTTAAATGTAATTTTCTTTTTCCATTTTTTTCACAAAAATAACAAACAATGCCATAGTAATCTTACCAAGATAGAAGCACAAACCAAACCTAGCTGCAAGTAGTCTTGACCTTTCGGGGTGTAGTTCTATAATAAGAATGGTACATTCTAGATCGAATTCCATGAAAAGAGTGTAGGAAAAGGCCAATGAAATCCTAACATGGGAATATCTTAACAATCCAAAGTGATTTTCATGCGTCCAATTGAATTAATGTAAAGAGAAAGGGAAGAAAAGAAAAGAAAAAAGGAAGAAAAGGACTGCTGAGAAAAAGAGAAAATAGTTGGGGTTATCTCCCATCATCACTTATATTTATAGTTTTAAATATTAAACTGAGAAATGTACCCTTCATAATAAAAACAAAAAGCTAAAGAGCTTCTAACACTCCTCCTTCGGCTGGTGCAAAGATATCACAGATGCTCAGCCTACAAAGGATTGAATGAAACACTTTACTAAATACTCCCTTTGTCAAGATATCTTCAAATTGATCCCTAGTCTTCACAAATGGAGTACAATTTAAGCCAACTCAATTTTTCTTTGATGAATTGTCTGTCAACCTCAACGTGCGTGGTTTTGTCATGCTGACAAAACCACGGTACAATCTTACTGGTTTCTTAGAATTAAAACAAAGTTCCTTCACTAGGAATTTCAATCACAACAATTCACAAAATACCATGGGCCATAGCTCTAAATTTTGCCTTTGCATTAGATCTGGCCACAATCAACTGTTTTTGCTACATCATGGTACCAAATTTCCTCCTATAAAGGTACAATATCTAGATGTTGATCTCTTGTCTCTAACTGATCCATCCCAATTAGTATTTGAATAGGCTTCCACTTACAGATGGTCATGGTTATAACAAAAAAATCCCTTTACCGGGTGTTAGTTTCAGAATTTGATGAACTGCCAAACTGACTTGCCACACAGATTGCATAGGCTATATCAAAATGAGTACGAGACAGATAAATGAGTTTGCCCACTAGTTTCAGTCTCTGGTATCGACCTTTATCTACATAAGTATCGTCAACATTCTCTCCCAACTTATGATTCTGCTCAATTGAATACCAACAGGCTTACACCCTAGCATACGTGTCTCCTTAAGTAGATTAAGCACATACTTTCACTATGAAATGAATATACCCCATCTAGATCAATGCCCAAGAAATACTTCCAACTTCTCGAATCTTTTATCTCGAATTTTTAAGCCACATATGCCTTTAATTTCACCATCACCAATACATCATCGCCGGTAAGTACAATATCATCAATATACACGATGAATGCAGTCAAATTTCGTAGAAGAATATTTAACAAAAAAAGTATGATTACCATGGGTCTGATGATAACTATAACTCAACATAGCTTGGGTGAATCTCTCAAACTATTCTCTTGAAGACTGCATCAACCCATTCAATAATTTTTTCAATCTACATACGTCGCTACTATCTGTGGTAAGTTCAAAGCCATGTGGAACATCCATATATACTTCCTCCCTAGGTCTCCATGTAGAAACACAATTTTCACTTCAAGTTGTTGAAGAGACCAACTTTGATTTGCAGTCAAGGACAGTAAGACAAAATGGAATTCATCTTTGCCACCGGTTCAAATATATCCTGATAGTCAATCCCATAAGTCTGTGTGAAGTCTTTGGCCACCAATCTAGCCTTGTATCTTTACACTGAGCCATCGACCCTATGTTTCCGTGTAAACAACCATTTACACCCAACTGGTTTTTTCGCTTTAGGTAACTCAACTAGTTCCCATGTATTATTTTTCCGAAGTGCATTCATCTTTTCACATAACTTTCTTCCACTTGGGATCATCAAGTGCATCGTGTGAATTACTAGGAACAAACAAAAAGGACAAATGAGATGTAAAAGTTCAATAAGAGGGTGAGAGGTAATGAAAAGATACAAAACTAGATATGGGATGTAGAGAACAAGCTTAAACACCTTTATAAAGAGCAATATGAATATCAAACTCAAAATCAAAAGCAGGATTACCTGATCTCGAGGAAACCATTTGGCAAGGCGATGGATTTGAGATGGTCTGATCCTTTTATCTTCTTGAATATACCTATTTGGGATCTCTGTCGCATGCAAATCTTAGTAATTCCTTTTTTTAGTTGATATTATTCTTGTACTTGCTAATGTTCCTCATTATTTTCCTACTCTTGTTCTAATGAAAAGAAAGACACCGGTGAGGTAGATGGGAGAACAAATCCTAACTTATCTTCACTTAGATTCTCCCCCTAAAGAGAAGTCTGGGAGAAATAGGTTACCATTTCAAAAAAGGTGACATTCATAGAAACAAATTTTTAACTCAAATGAGGATGAAACATCTGTAATCCTTTTGTGTGGGCAAATAACCAAGAAAGATGCATTTGGTTGCTTTAAGATCTAACTTACTTTAGAGTCGAGGAGGAACAAGGACAAAACAACCACACCCAAACGCCTGAGGAGGAACTAAAGAACAATTTGAGAAAGAAGGGGAAGAAGAGGAAGAAAAAGAAGATAATACCTTAATTGGTGACCAAAAGTTTAGAAGTGGAGAAGGTATTGTATTGATAAGATATGTTGAGGTAAGTATGACATCTATCCAGTATAACTTTGGAACAGTCATAGAAAACACCAAGGCTTTTGCAACTTCAAATAGATGGTGATTTGTTCCCTCAGTAACCCTATTCAATTAAGGCATATCAATACAAGTTGTTTGGTGCATAAGAACATGCTCAGCAAAATAGAATCAACGTTCCCTATAAACATACTCATCCTCATTATCAGAACAAACGACTTGTACTTAGTACGAAATTGGGTAACTACCACCTTGTGGACTGTCTGGAGACAAGAGAATACTTCGTATTTTCTTTCTTTTAATCAATAAACCCAAGTGGTGCAAGAAAAATCGTTAATAAATGTCACAAACCATCTAAAACCAAAAAAAACAAGTAATCCGGGAAGGTCCCCAAATATCAGTATAAAGAATGAAAAAATGTGAAATACTTTTATTGAAATTCATAAGAAAGACACAAATTCACGTACTTCCTAACGAAATTGAAAGACATTCAGCTTAGAAAACAAAGAAGGAAATAATTTTTACAACAAAAGAAATGAAGGATGTCCGAATTTTCGATGTAGTAGCCAAATCTGCTTGTCAAACATATCATATCTTTTTAACTTATAAGCTTGTGTAATGGTAGTGCCATTTGGTTCCTTAGAATTCAAAAAATAAAGACCATCTCTCTCCTCACCAATATTAATCATCTTCCTTGTAAAAAGGTCCTGAAAGACACAATTTGAAGGAAATAATGTTACGCTAGAGTTTAATTTCCTGGTAATGCCACTGATAGAAATAATATTGGTAGAAAGATTAGGAGCATTTAAAACAGATGGGAGATAGAGAAGAAGTGACCAGAATAGAATCTTTACCAGCTATAGAAGATATGTAACCATAAACTATTTTAAGCTACTGTTTTCTTAAACAAGCAGTATATGATGATAACAAAATGGGTAGTCCAGTCATATGCTCAGAGGCACTTGAATAACTAATCCAGGCCAAGAAGGAATATTACACGATGTATTCAATACTGTAGGGAGGTTACCTGAATGGGTAAAAGAAATTGATGAAGTGGTAGGTGTTTCCAGTTTTGACATAAGGCAACGTATATTCTCTACTTCCTCCTTGGTAAAAATCATTATTTCTACTGTAGAGGATGAAGCAATATCAGGTGAAGATGTCTACACTGCAGTAGTAAGATTGGCTCAAGATCTATCTATTTCTCCGGAGCGTCCTCTTTTAGCTCCAAACTATGGACAACCATGTAATCTCCAGAAAGTCTCTCTAATATGTCTCGACTTATGGCAATAATAACAATACAACTTATCTTTGTCACCCAATGAAATATCATTTACATGTCTTCTCTCAAGTTCCTTATTTCCCAACTAGTTATTTTGAGAAGTAGCGGTAACAAGGCCTGAACCCTCATGGGGCATAGAATAAAGCATGATCTCTTGCTTTCTCTCTTCCGACTAAACATAAACATATACCTAGTGTAGGGAAGGTAGAGGTTCTTCCTTAGGATTTGAATCCTAATTTGAACAAACTCAAGATTCAAGCCAAGAAGAAATTCAATAATCCTCTTCTGTTCAATCAACTTCTGTAGTTTTGAGGCATATTTAGCACACACTATGTCAAGTCTCTAATAGTGATACATTTCTTGATAAGCCGCCAAAGAGCAATCATTCTGCTTAGTATTGTAACTCTGACATTTCAACTCATACACTTGTGCCATGTTGGCTATCTTAGACTGCTTCCCAGTCGTCCTTGGCGATATGTAAAAACAAGTAGTCATTGCTAATCTATGGTTGCATAGAGTATAGTAGCCAAGATATAAAATTGAATTCTCAGCCTTCCACTTATCATAAAGTGGATCATCAGTCTTTGGTTCCTCAACTTTTCCAGTCAAGTAACCCATCCTACAAACAACATAGCTGACTACAACCAGGCAAGGTAATTATGGCCATCAAGCTTCATTGTTGTAATATGTAGGTCGATATTTTTAGTCTGAAGCCTAATTTGACTTGCAACACTTTTTGACTGTATCCAAGAGACTGTGCTAGATTCTGACATCTTTAAATTAATTTTTACTTCTTCTTAAAGGTCTGATATATGCCAAACAGTTCAAAAAACCAAACACCACAAGAAACACCGCTATTTATCTGAAACTTGCATTTAATCAAACTTGAAAATCACAAAAAATGGGCAAAATCACTACTGAAGTTCAAAACGGACTGCCGTTGAACAAAAAAAATGTCTACCGCCTCTCTTGAAGCCATAAAACTAAAAAAAAAATGACTTTAGATCACTGCGCAACCTTAGGCATTCAAAATCGACACCCATAGTGTCTATTCCAAGCGAAAAATTCCTCGAAAAAGTTAAAAATTGCAGATCTAAAAATACAACCCTACCAAATAATCTCAAACAAATTCATAAAAATCATAGATAAACTCAACTCATCCAATGGACCATGGTATTATTATTTATTTTTTTCGGACAGGCAAAAAAAATTTGAGAAAACTTGGTTTGTTTCTTCTTGTAGACCAAACAAAATTTCCTTCTTGTAGACCAACTTTCTTGTGCTTACTTCTAACCAACACGCTGGCGTATGTGTCTTAGTTATCCAAATTAAATGAAATAATGGGTATATAAGGAAGAAGTAAGCACAAGAACGTTGTGAGTCTTGTGACATAATATAAGAGGGATGAACGACAAGATTTTAATTATGAATTGACCTGCAGTAGAGCAATAGCATTACAAACTCTGCCACAATCTTTCATAGTGAGCTTTGAGGGTGATAGGAGTGTGTATATAGCCGTCACTTCCTGAAATATAGAAAAGATATTACCATTCACAGTAAGGATGAATCAGAGCAATGAACAATGAAGGAAGAGAACGGTTTAAGTGAATTTCAATATTTGTAACAAGAGTCTAGTTTCTAACTTCAAAGTGAGATCATGCAAAATTATTTATCACCAAAAAAAAAAAAAAAAAAAAAAAGAGAAAAGGTGACACTATATTTGTACATACATCAAATACACCAGGGAAACTATCTAAAAATCCTTGTAAGTTTTTCAAACTTAATAATAAACCTGTTTCTGTATTTCAATCCTTCCACTACATAAATTATCTAAGCTAATCTCATAATAATTAATAGAACAAAAACAATATTTTTTCCTTTCCAATGGACTAGACCAAAAGGTAAATTCTTAATGATAAGAGGACTAACATTATCCATGATTAGTGAGATTTATTGGAAATCATTAATTAGAAGAAGCATCTCGAAGAGTTGAGGGACAAGGGCATACCTGTAAGAGTATATAAACTGTCTCGAAAGAATTCCACAATGTTTGATGCAATTCTAGACATGCTCCTCTTTGCTAAATCAATAAAGAAACAAGCACGTGTTCAGATTTTGAAACAAACAAATATAAGAGAAGAAAAATAAGGCACCTGGAACAAATAAATCAGTTTATGCAACCAAAGATAGCACAAGTATGAGGAAAAACATTATAACTGTTGTATTATTCTATACTCAAACTATAGAATAACAGATAAAAGGTGGAAGGAATAAGGCAGATCATATGCAATTTTCATATGCTCAATGATCCATGAATCAGTTCTTAAACCCACGAGTGTCACCAGATACTTGATTGTTTGGTATTATCCACTTTGTGAAAAATAACTCTTTACATTGACGCATTTTCTTTCAATGGGTAGATTAGGGTCCTCGACATGCTTTGTTAAGAGTTGTGTTGTATTAACGAACACAAGGTTAAACTGTACATCATTAAAATTTTAATTTTTTATAAATGAAGTCCTAACTGGCCTATAAACAACATTATTTTTGGTACTGCAATGATACTTTGACAGTTATACACCAGGCACTCAAAGTTTCTAACTCCAAAAGAAACAAATCCCTTTAAGTCGCGATCCATGAGAAGACATTACCAGAAACCTAATAAATATTAACTTCCACAAGCAATGCTGCATATTCAATTAGAATATTTGCGATGACAGGGTTATCTATTTGTTGCATAAATGTTCAATCCTAGGAATTCAAATATTGCCACAAAGAGTTACTTTTCTAGTAAAGGAGCATCTTCTGATAATTAAGATCAACAATAACATGTAATGTAATACCTGGAGCATTATCTACCACAATTTCTCAAACTTAAATGCATTTTCTATGAGTTGTTAAATCCAAACAAAGCTCTTGTAATCCAACCATTTTCCTTTTTCAATTACTTCCTTTCCTTTGAAACCATGATTTTTGTTTAGTTTCTCTTCTTTAGTTTCCATTTACTGCCGTCGACCCTTTTTCCAACTTTCCTCAAACCTAATGAATTTATAATTACGCTACAGTATCCCGTATAATCTTCTTTATTCCATAGTATCTTACAATTTGATCCTATATAACCACCAACAGATTCATTTAAGAAACATATTCTACCATGATAAAGAATATAATGCTCATCAAACAGACACCCTGCAAGCAACACATTGGTACGAAAAGCAAGCCCCATATTAGAAGTACACATAGCAACGATAAAAAGTTTTTGTTGTCACATTCAACAAATGAAAACTATTAAATATTTTTGCAAGTGCAAAAACCTGTTAATATTTTGTTTGCCAGGACAGGTTTTACAGCAATGGTATAGCACCCACGCCCGGAACAAGATTCCAAATGACAGGAACAACAACATTAGCTATAACGGAATTTAATATTGGTTGTAACTCGTAAAACACATAAAATTCCTCTAAACATAAAAAATGACGACAATAGTAAGGATTACCATCTGTGATACCCAAATTTCTACGACAAACAACAATAATGACTGCATTGACAGTTAATCATCAGTGGTAATACTCCAAATTCCTCAGAACAAGATGCCTAACGATAGCAACAACATTAGCCCTATGGACCCCATCAAATAAAACATTTAGATAGTCATTTCATTTTGTCACACCAAACAAGAGGCTTCAGTGCGTTATACATTAGGGAAAAAGTTGCCTAGATTGCCTGGAATAGATCTTTGTGCTCTATTTTGTGCAAATTTTACAGTCATTTTCTCTCAGTACATGACTTAGAAACTCTTGGCATAAAGTACAAAAGGCAGAAATGATGGGCTATACATGAGCTTGCTAAGATCATGTAACAACTAAATGCTTCACTGGCTCCTCAAAAAAAGATCAGAGGGAAGGGAACGAAATGTCTCAAATATGGTTAACAAAGAAAGACAATTATAAGCATTTTCCTTTTCATTTCAAAAACGTTTTTAGAAGCTATACTAAAGATGCATCTTAAAGCGGCTTACCAAGTTGGAACCTTTAATGTGGAAAATTAGAAATAACCTATTTTATCAATTGTTTGGAATTAAAATAAAAATAATAACTTGAACTCGGAGTAGATATAATAACATTCAATGGGGAAGAAATGGTATTGCAGACGCAGAAAATATTGTCCATTCAGCAAAGCAATTAAGGTTTAGGTATTTTTTTTTTGATCCAAATTAATATTTAAGTACAAAACGTGATATTTCTATTATGCTGCTTTTGCCACCACCAAAGCAGCACATATGATAAACGAGTCAAAGTTGACATGATGTGTTGAAACTTGAAGTAGATAAATGTTTCCGGTAAACCTTCTCTAAGCTTTTACAGCAGTTGGTCGCAGCATGAGATCTCGTATTGAAATCTCATTCTGATCATATAAAACTTGGACGTGTTTGGCCTAAAATCTACTCGCATATATAGATGCTTACATTACAACTTCTATAACAGTTTTATATTAGTTTTAATAGGATGTTCTCATCAACTTGATCATTAAAATCAAGCACCAATCTTAATCACATCAATTCGAAAACTATCTTCAACTCCCAAGAGCAACATGCAGAAGTATCAACCTCGAATCATCAACTCGGTGTATGATAACTAAATTCATAAATAACTGTATTTTATTTCTAAATTAGAAAAACAAAATTCAAAAACATAATTTCAATCGATTTATATCTTTTCTCACCTTCTCTCCCATAAAATCACATAGCCACCAAAGCAAGGCAGAAAAGCTGGAAATAAATAGGCATATACATGCAGATGTACCTGCACCTTCCTGATAGCTGATAGAGCCTGCTCTCGGTAATGAGGCAGACGAAGCAGTACAACCAACTGCTCCGGAGTGCACAAGTTCACGTCTATGGGCCTAGGGTTCGTTTCCCCTGCGTTCGAGCTCAGTCCTGCTCCGGTGGGGTCCACAAACCACGATTCAGGCAGATTCGCCATCCTCCGTATCGTACGGACCAATCGATCGAATGTATCTAAATCCTTCTCTCTCTTTCCCGAGAAATTATTCACTTTCTGGAGAAAATCACATGCATTTCCAGCAAGATCACACACAACTCTTCTCTCTCTCTCTCTCCCCGATTATGTTCGCGCACAGAAACTCAGTGCTAGTAGTAGAAGTGAAAAATGTGAGAGAACATGAGACTTGGAGTCCAAGCACCGAGTCTCTCTCTCTCTCTCCTTTCTCTATTTATAGTGGCGACACTGGGGGCGTTTGTGTGGTGTGAGTGGCTATACTAGAAGAACCAAACAGGTCACGGAAATTGGTGCTACAAGATATCTTCATGGCACATGTCACACATGCGCTGTTTCTATTTGCCGAGAGCAGAAACATGGCAAAAGTCAAGGATCCGTTTCTAGACATTAACCGAATAAAATGGTGACACGTCAGAGACTAGACAATGGTTTGCACACGCAATTTTAAAGTGAAATTAGGAGAGAGGGAGAGAGAGAAGAGAATTGTTTAGATCTATAATATAAAATATGGTAGATTTTAATAAATTCATCTGACAGTTTCAAATAGATTCGTCTAATGGTTACCAACATCTTTTAAAATCATTCATATTGAATTTTTTTTCTTTCCCAAAATTTATCACTTCTCATTTTCGTTGTACTGTGCTTTAAGCACGAGTTATCTCTAGTATAATTAATTATGAGATATTATATGTAATTTGCTAATATTATTCAGACTTAATCTAATTTTTTTTATAATTATTAAATTAATTATAAGTCTTAATAAATATCAAAGTTTACTATTAATTTAATAGTTATAAATGATTAAGTCGATAAATTATATCATAAATTAGACATGAGTAACAATTTGTAATTATGGATAATTTTAGGTAGTTAAGATAAGAAGAGAAGAGGGGTACCATAGGTATTTCATATGTAGGCACCAAACACAATTAGTCTCGTTACATTAGTTAGGGTGTTTAATTTATTTATTTTTTGGATAAGTGTTGGTTTTGTCTTAATTTGTGGATGTGTCTCGTATTAAGGATACTAGTTAGTGGGAAGATATCCTCCAATACGTTTTCTTACAATTCACTCGAGGTAGATCACTCACCATGACTTTATACGCAAACGAAAGATTGTCGGGCCCAATTCCCAAGGTTAGGGTATTTCCTATTCTGAGCTTACTAAAATTAGAACTAAATTAATTGATTCTTTTTTGTCTATTGGCTGCAACCTTCACATATTCTACTGAGATCCCTAAGTCTCCAAGTGGGTCCTCTTGAACACCCACCACTTTGGTCCATCGGGTGGATTTGTTTTTCTTTCTAATTTTGAGTGTCTTTTTAGATAGTTATAGTGACCCATAGGTACAAGATGTACCTTGTTGGGAGGGGGGGCACAATCCCCTGGACATAGTGGCCGTTTATGGTCCATTGGATGGTCGGTGCAAGGCCAAAAATTAGAACACATTGATTCGGCTCGTTTCCGTCCTTCGCTGTAGGGCCAGTTGGGTCAGTATTCCATACTATCAGGCCGTGGTCTACTAATGATTAATTAGTCTCCCAAGCATATAAAGAAGGTGATCTATCTTAAGTAAAATTGTAGGGAAATGCTTTGGGGAGGATTTGGAAACCACTAATTGTTGTCATATATTTACATATTTTTTCCATCCAAAACAAAAATATTTAATATAACGGTAAGATCACATTATCATTAATGTATTGAATCATCAACTAATTGTAAAAATCATAAATATAGCTAGTAAATCTTGTTATTCAAGTAACTGTTAAAAATTAAATTGGGTTTAAGAGTCCTGTTTTTTCGGTTGAAATTAGTTGGTGATACACGTCATTGTATCACAGTTGCATTAAAAATTTACTAAGCTTATTGAAAGGTTTACTATAATTATCGATGTGTCTTATTAATTTTTACTAATTATTAATGATTATTAATATGCCACCTCATTTCATATAACCACACAACATCATTTTCACTTCATTTAGGGTTGGTTGGAGTGGTTTCGGTGATTAAATTGTTAGTCAAGGATGATAGAGTTTCAATAGTCGATGTTTAAAACAATTTGATTAACTCAATACACGTGGGTTAGAGTTGATTGCATCTTAAAATTACACCAATAAAGGGTGAATTTTTAAATTAAGAAATAAATGTAAAAATTTAAAGATAAATTACGATTTGAAATGTTGTTGCTCCAAAATCTGTTAAGATAGACAGACAGTTTTCAAATGATTGTTTGTAAGATGTTCAAATGTCTTATTTTAAAACTTTTTTAAATAAAAAAAAAATGAACAATCATACAGTGCAAAAATGTCCAAGTCATGAGCCTTTTGAGGGTTTGAGTGTATCTTTATATTCTCCACTCCATGCCCTTTTATAGTCATTTGTCTTCGACGGTTTTACTATTGTTGACGGTTACAGACAGGTAATTTCTAGTTAATTATCTCTTTCTTTTTAAATATGACTGTGACTGATCATCTCCCACATTTCTTCAGATTCTGTCACGTGGCACCTTCTCAATGCATATGATATGTCAGGTGTCGAAATATTGAATATTCCCAGAATTTAATATTTTGTGTCCAAATAGATGCATAGTTGAATCTCGCAACTAAGTCAGCAACATTTTTTTAATCGAAAGCGTCAGATTATGAGTGTTTTTTTGGGGGTCAAAAATCAGATTATGAGTTGCTTTTCTAAAATATCTGCAATGTACTATTTTACATTTTTCATTCATTTTTTTGATAAATTTGGGAGTAAATATAAAAAATAGCAATAGAGTCATGAATTTATTAAATTAAGTTGAAATTCAACTTTTGTTTGGTGAAATTTGTTGATTATGTTATTAAATTTTGTTGGAATTTAATTGATTCAAATCGAGTGAAATTTCAAATAGGATAAAATTAATTCGTATAAAATTCGATTATAGACTAGAATTTTGATATACAAATTGGATTTGAAACTAAGTTTTTTATACAGATTGACAAAGACCTAGTTTGAAATTCAATCTATTCAAAGACATATCTATAGAGTAGTCATTCATTATAATTTGAGTGGGTAAAACTGAACCTAGTTCAAGTAATATATAGTATTTAAATATATAATGACCCAAATTATAATTTGGATGACATAGAGGGGGAAGCCTCCATTGTATTCGAGGAGTTAAGGATTGGTTGAAAATTTCGGATCGAAGAAAAGGCATATCAAAATGTGATGCGAAAAAACCCAAGCCTTTATTAATAGAAAATACTTCTTAAACTTGTTTTTATCGGTAAGTCTAGAGAACAATCACAATGTTATGCCCCCAAAATATAACTATACAAAGGAGACTTATTGAATTGGCTAATTCAAGTTCAATTGGGAATACAAACAAGTAAATTGTGGTAGTGTAGTACAAGTTTTCACCAATACAAATAGAAATATTCTAACTTGATCCAAATTCTCAACCCATGGAGTTCCATTTGCAGAACTGCACAAACAATAGTGCTAGAGCCCCTGACTTACATATAACAGAGAATGGAATTCCATATTTTCCTGTCCCAAATAGCCCTCTAAAAAATGACCAGAAGCAAAGCACCAACCACACACTGCACAATATCTCCCCTACCCCTGACCCATCTCCGCCACGAATCGTCGATCGGAACCTTAACAACCCGAGCGCCAATGCGGCCAAGTTTACTAGCAAAATGGTGGTGCCGAGCACAAAAACTGGGGACTCGTCAAATGTGAATCTTCCTACATTAGCATTGGTGTCATCGGCACCGGTGGTTTGGTCTTTCTTTGTAACTTCAAACATAGTCTCGGACAATCCTAAGAACTTGAGTATACCACTTAGAAATCCAAGGAACCATGATGTCATCGGTATGATTCTCAACGTTTTCTGATTGTTCCACCATGTTTGGATTGACAGGCCTGCTCGTAGATACTCTGATAGAGTGTATATGTAATAAATGAGAAAGAGAGCGACTGGTATAAATTTAGCCGGTTCATGGACCTGCATGTACAAAATGTTAAGTAGTAATATATTTTTGAATCATATACTGACAATAGCTTTGGCCCAACTAACATGTTCAAATAATAAAGCAATGATTACATCATTGTTATACATTTTTCTTCAATTCTTTTCGTGGTGGCATCGATAACTCCAATACTATCCAATGAGGGTATCCCTATAAAGCCAAATTGTCTAACTTATTTGGTCTACAACTTGATAGGACTAATGCATTCCTGGTCTAGATGGGATGAATTTTTTTTTTTTCCTTTTTAGGGAAAAAATTAATCATTGAAAAACTAAATAATTAGATTCGAATTCAACAAAGTTTTTAAAGTTTCAAACACTTTAATCTTTTATGATGCAAACTACTACGGCCGATCACGAGTTAGTTGAGCTAGTGGTACCATTTAAACTTACCTTTGTTATTCATTAAAAATTCAGAGATTCAAATTTTTTTGACGATCGTAGAACAATGAGATTTTAGGATTTATGGTCTTCTAATTACAACGGGCTTGAGAAATTTGTCCTCAAATTTCTAATCTCACAATTCTTTGAATTATTTAATACCAACTAGGTACTTTAAATTGAACTTTTTTTAAAACTAGAGGGTTATGATTTGTCCTCACCTTGGGCAAGAAGTGTGAGTTGGTGATAATACAATAAGCCGGCAGAGCAGCGTAACAAAGCTCTGGAATCGATCGTACAGCCCACATCTGAATCCACACGTAGGCCAGGCATTGTCGGAAGTGGAGCTTGCCTTTGGAGAGAACAATTATTGGGCTTTTTGGGCTTAAAAGAATTTCCAGAAGCCCAGTAGACCATCTCTTCTGCTGGATCAATGTGGTGGGCCAACTCGATGGAGCGCTTCCAAGAAAAGCAGGAGGTTCGGGTGTTAAATAGGCAGATTTCCAACCTCTCCCATGGATAGTAAGCCCAGTTAGGACATCTTCTGTTGCCGATCCATATATCCAACCAACCTGTAATATGTCAAAATCAATTATAATACAATTTTAATGGGCTTGGGCCATAATTAGATTAACAATTAGACCCATTTAATAAACGAATCGATCGGTTATACATGACACGAAATTTATTATGAATCTAATAAGACATGACCCAAATATGAGGCAGAGATGAAAGATAAAATGAGTATTACCTTTTCACCCCAGCTGGTACCATGTTCATAGCTACAACTTGCAACTTGATATGCTGCCTCAAGGGAACTCGAAAGACCACTTGGATTCTGGGTCTTTACTTGGGATTCTGATAAAATCTGGGCTGCTGATTTGGAGAATTTCGTCGACTTGCCAAATGTATTCTGCAAACTCTCATCACCCAGTTCTCCTAATAACCAAATAAAAAAAAAATATATTTGGTCGACTTCGGTGGTTTGCAATTGTCGTTTTGAGTAATTTTTTGTGGATTTGTGTTTTTTATACTATGTCCAATCACTTTTAAAGACCAAGTTATTAACTTTGAACGGTCAAGTTACAACTAATTAGGGGGTAATGATGATTGATCACAATATTTTATGATCGATCATGAATAGCCTCAAGCAGTTATGACGTTATTTTTAAAATGTATAATTTGATCTAAAAAAAAATAGTAACTTTCAAGGTGATACCAAAAAATTTATACAATGAGGCTTTTGATCTTAAAAAGAGTAGTTGTTCTGAGCATTTTATTCAACAGTTAGAGCTGATTCACATACCCTTGGTTACTGTGCTATCAGGTGATAAACCGTATATAACTTTTCTTCTGTGAAAACATCCTGTTCCAGAATAAAAAATTCCTTGCATCCCCGCTATTCCACGAGCCGGATACTGAATTAGACATAAAGAAAAAATGTGCTTAATAGGTTAATCAAATTGAAATTGTCCATATTAGTGTTATTTTACAGAATAGTAAAAAGTCAGGGTCGGTCATTTGTTTATTACTAATATTATTACAACTATCAAATATGAGGTTCAAACCGATGACCTCCATTCCTTCGAAAATATGGTTAACCATCTCGAATAAACCTGTAAGTCTAGTCACTTGCATCTGTTTGATTAATAGTGAATTTTATCTAATATTAGAACTCACAATTAATCTAACGAGTTCTAGTGATTGTAACGAATTATGTATCGAATTGGATCTCTAAATTAAGTGCGGATATCATTTAACTAAATTTTGCACGCACCTCAAACAAAGCCACCAACTGATTTCCAAATGGGTCATCCTTGAGTCCATCATAGAAGCATTGTGGATATTGAACAAAGCCACTGTCCCTTTCATTCTTGGCACCAAGCAACATGCACATAGCATGAAGAACCATCTGGGGATTGTTGGCATACATATCACAGTCTACATTCAGCATGAAAGGAGCATTTGTCATCACCCCTGACACTCTGGTCTGTTCACAATCACATACAAATTATATTTCCATGTATGGAAAATAAAACATTATGGGTTAATTAGACTTTTCTGTGATATAGGAAATTCTGACCAAAACATTCATGGCACCAGCTTTGAAATGATGTGGATGCTTTGGAAGCTTCTCTCTGGAGATGTAGACCAGATGAGGCAAACCATTGGGAAGATCTTCCTTGTTCTCCCATATAACCTAAAAAATATTATCTCGAATAAGCAAAAAGAAAGTCCGACTTAAAAAAAAGAGCAATGCAATTTGAATGTAATTTGCTGACTTAATCACTTAATCATTGGATTGATAGTAGATCTCATTATTTATTGAGATCAACAATCAATTCAATGATTGTGATAGATTAGGACGGCAAAGTAGGTTCATCTAACATTATATATATACAGTCAATCCGTAAAAACATTAATAACTTGTACATATATACATATACAAACACACAGGGTGGTAAAACGATGATATCAAAAAGTAATTTTTCAATATTGTAGAAGTCGATTTTAATATGTTCACAATCAATAACTATAATACATACAAGAGAGAACTATTTTTGATACGATTTCTAAAAATTAATTTTATGTACCACATAAATATATGTGGGTTGTGTACATATGTACGTATGTTTGTATGCTCTTCCAATGTTATGGTCTTCATATTAACTGTCTTGATGGTGATATTAGAATATTGAGTTCACTATATATTTGACCACTGAGCTATTATATTTATGTCAATTTAACTCCTAAACTACGCTTTGTATCAATTTAGTCTAGGAACTATTACATTTTTGTCAATGTGACCATTCCGTCCAAAATCATCGTTAAGTTTGAAGGAATTCCTCACTTGTATAATACGTGACCCCCTAAACTATAACTTAATCCCAAATTCACATGATAATGCGCACATGAGGAATTCCGTCAAAGTTAATCGCAAGTTTGGACAGAAGGATCACATTGACACAAATGATATAACTTAGGGGTTATATTGAAACAAAATATAGTTTAAGGGTTTGATTGATACAAATAGTATAATTCAGGGACCAAATTAATAATTTACTCTACAATCCTTATGTCATATTCAATTGATAACGTGATCCAGCAAAAAATTTCAAAATGTTACTTAAGTTTAGAGTAGATACTTTGCAAGAAATTTTGTCCCTTTGTTTGAATAATAACAACCTTAATAATTGTTCACTTGGTGCTGTCTAAATTGTTGAAAAGACCAATGATGTCTTAAAATTTCAAATTGGACACAAACCTCTACAGTTGGGACAATTTTCCAGCAAATTTTAGAGAAAGGGTGACATCCAAACTCTAGAATATGAAATGAAAATGACTCACTCAAGCGTCATAATTTGTGGATTGCGTTCTTGAATAAAATTCTAGTCTTTTCGAGGGTGTGTGTTTGTACTTTCTAGAATACCTATGCCCATTTCAACCTTACTGACATTTCGATGTCATCCAACGCCATTTTCTTCAATTTCTTGTAAGTAACATATCATTAGTCATGGAACAACGGATAAATTATCATTGAAGAAAGTCGAGAAAAGTATACTGAATGAGAACGGAAGGATATCTCATTTCTAAAAACAATTAAGCTACCCCTGGTGTTGTATATATGTGTCTAGGGAATAGTGCATTCTACCTTTATTATAGTTGGATGGTTTCTGCGCTCTGTATGAGAAAATGCTGCAAAATCCACTGTTAGGTCCCATGGCGCAGATGTTTGCGACGCCTCTTCAATCTTTTGGCAAAGCTTTTCGTATTCATCCTAACAAAAATCAAGATAATACATGTGTTTACACTTCTAAACACTACTGTGTAATGGGATCGGATTGAAAAGATCCGTTCCCATTACTGAGTGATGTAATGGCAAAAAAAAAAAAAAATTTCATGAATATAACAATAGTTATGCAAGCGTACTGCCTCCTAATGGGCAGTAACGACCATAAAAAACTGTAAAAAAAACTTATTTGTGTGAAAACGGGTGTGAATAAAAAAAATTCACCCTTTTGATTTTCATTTCCATTATGATTATGTAACATCCGTTACACCCTACGATTGTGTGAGAGTTCTTAGCTCACCTTTATCTTTTTCCATTCGTCTTGGAACTCCAATGAACTATCTTCGGACCATGATGACTCGCCATTATAGTATCGAAATGGAGCTCTAACAGCAATGTTGAACTTCTTACAAAATGGAACCCAAAGCTTAGCAAACTTAGCTGCTTCGACGAGAGCATGGAAGGTGAGAGGGGAACAACCATCGTCGGAGACATAGCAAGCCAACTTGTTCGCCGGGTAATCAGCTGCTAACAAGGATAGTACGGTGTTTACGGTGATAATCGGCGGTTCAAGGACGGGTCGGCCGTTGTGACGAACATGTCCACCGAGGGAAGCTCATGAGCAGGTTTCCTATTATGAGAAAGAAACAAATAAAAATAATATGGTTGTTTAATCAATAGAACAAAATCCCATTTAAACTTGAAAAAATAATTGAAGAGATAAGATTAAGAAATTTAAATCTCATCACGAATCTGAACAGTTGATGCTCAGTTCAATTCGATTCAGTTGTACCACTAGGTGTTATATATATACCAAAAAAAAAAAGTACATATACCAAACAAGTAAAGAGCTTACATAAGGGTTGCAAAGTAGAGAGAGAGAGAGAGAGAGAGAGAGAGAGAGAGAGAGAGAGAGAGTATTTGGATACCAGTGCAAGAGGCGTTCTGGGTAAGTTTTGTTATACACTGGGTTCCACTTATTGTTTAGAGAGAGAATCCAGATTAAAGTGAACCAGGACTCACAGCAAAAGGCAAGAACCCAAGGCCAGCCATGGTCTCCGAGATGGAACAGACGGTAAACAAGGAGAGATAAGAGAAGGAAGAGGATGATAAGCTCTACAACTCGTGGTATGGTGTTTTTACGAGGCTTTTGTTCTTGAAGAGGAAGAGAAGATGGATTTGCCATTGGCAGAAATGATTATTAGTTTATTAACCCTTGTTATGGGTATTTATAATGGATTTTCGTCATGGTCATTCATTCGAATTTGGACAAGCCTGCACACTTATATTTTATTAATTAAGTGATGAACACGTATCCAATATGTTTGTGGAAATTGCCAATGAAATGGATTTGACACGGAAGTTACCTTAGACTGAGACAGTCGACTTTTTTTTTTTTTTTTTGATCTAACTGAGACAGTCGACTAGAATAAAAAAAATTTGTGCCATTCAACCAAATTTTATAAATATTGTGGGTTGAGATATAAATTTTTAGATTTGTTTACCATAACAAAAAAATTATAACTTCTGAAATTATATTACAATTTTTAGAGTTCTAGTTGTAATTTTTGTGGATTATTTATAACTTTGATGAGTTATTTAAAATCGATCCCAAAAATAAATTTTAATGACGATTACAAGTTATTTTAAATATTTGAAATAACCCATAAAAATTATAAAAATAAAACGAGTCATAATAATGGTCCAACATTTTCTTTGTCATTATTCTCTAAAATGTCACTTATTTCCTTCTGGAGAATTCAACGAGAATGAGTCCACACAAATTAATAGTATGCTTATATATTTATTTCCAAACAAGTGTCATTGAAAGAAACCAATGGATTTTTTTTTTCGTAAGGTCGATTGGAAAACAACTAGACTTCTCATGGACAGAGTGGCATTGTCGTCACGATTCGTGAATATTCCAAAAAAAAAAAAAAAAAAATCCTAAACTGGTGGGTCTCTGTTTTTGTTTTGTTTGGCCCTGTCACTTTGGGAGACATGATGGTCGGCTTTTTTTTCTAGGAACAATGTTACATGAATTTAAAAAATAGAGTTAAAAAATAGACTTGATAATTTCAATCATTAATTTTACTGTGAGTCCCAACATTTATTGAGACTCAGTACCTATTCAATAGTTGAGATTATCAAGTCTAATTTTTAAGTTTATCTAGCATTATTCTTTTTCTACACAGATCCAATAAACTAGTGTTGGCCCGTGATATGTACGAAAATTGCACACATCTCATTCTCTCTCCGTTTACTTTTTCGTTTTTTTTTTAATTAAAAGTAATTTGTATTTAAAAATACAGTGTAATATGAATAATTTTGACAGAGATGTTAGTGATCATTAGATAAATCTATTTGAGACCGTCGAATGAACATATGAAAACCTGTCGCAATTTTATATTATAGAATTGTCGTGATACTATTTTAAAAGATAGATAAAAAATTATAAAAAAATTCAAGGTGATAAAATAATTATGTAAAATTCTGATAGTAAAAGTATGTTTCTAGAAAAATTTAAATTAGTGGCTCATCATTTTTTAAAATTAGAAAGAGTGATAGTTAATTAGTAGGATAGAGAGATAGTTCCGCATGTATTAGAACATAATTAGTTAAGTGACAATTAAATAATTAAAAATTCTAAAAAGAAAAAAGAAAAGTGGGAGGGAATATATATATACATAGATTAAAGAAAAATTCGGTGTAATTTATAAAGAATTAAATTTTTTGATTTTAAAAAAATATTTTTTTTAATTTTAATAAAAATAATAATAAAGGAAGAGTACAGAAGCTAGTGTGGGACCCTGATTAATATCTGTACGAATGGTAAAATTAATTTGAGCCACCCATTTTTCCCAATTATTGTACGAAGAACAGAGATTTGATGGCCCATTGGACGTGGACCATGATCCGTCCAACCGCTTTTCTCAGTCCACTCTACCAAAAATAATAATAATAATAATAATTATTTTTTATCACTCCTACCAAAAACAAATGAGCGAGAAAAAAAAATATCCCTTAAAGAATAAAAAAATTATTATTCTTACTTTTCATCTTCTTATTTTTCTGATTAATTGTACTAAACACGCCGTTAGAGATTATCCTCGTAGTTACCTCCATCCTAAATTCACTTTAACTTTTTAATTCTTAAATTTTTTATATTATTCTTTCAAGTATTCACATTATCTCAATTACAAATGTTTACTATCTTATTGGATGAAAAATTTTCGGGAAAAAGTGAAAAAATTTAGAGTTTGAGAGTAAAATGAAATAACTTTTCATTAAATTTGTTATGGACATTAATAATTAGGGCGATGTGAAAATAATTGCATAATTGTAAAAAATATGACAATTAAGAGGATAATATAAAAAAATGTCATAGTTGAGTGGTCAAAGTATAATTTACCCAAGGATTTTTGCATTGTTTGTGTATATTTTGGAATAGCAATTAAACAAATAATTTCATTTTAATCCATAAATGTGGTAATAATTAATCAATCATTTTACAAGGTTCTTATTATATTTTATTTGACTTAATATTTAGATAACGAATGACAGTATATTCGAAGTTTGACAAGTTATTGAAATCAGATCACGAGAAATTTATCTCTTATGATTATTTTATTTCAAATGAGATGATTTGTTTTTTATCAGACCGATGAGAAAATTAGTCGAGAAGTACGTGTATTAATAGTTATGTCATGCATTACGTTAGGTGTCATAACAATCGTCCAATATTAAACAAAGAATTGAAAGTTCGTTTAATTAATCAACAGACAAAATTTCATTTAATAATTGATAATGGAGTTTGAATCTTGAAATTTCCTAACACGTTCTATGAATTGAAGGCAAATAGTCCATCCAATTGCTGGATTAGTTTGACACACATTTTGTCAGCTACTAAAATTTTCTCTTGCCTCATGGAAAAATATGATGCCCATTTTGTCCGGGAGTGTAAATTTTTTTGATGCCATTGTTATATCTATACTATTAATAAAAAAAGATGAAGATGTTTGATATTCATTCTTAACTCAGATGATTTTGGATCGTTGAGAAAAAACTATCGACGTTAAGGAAATAAAAAAAATGACATTTTATCAAATTGTGTAGCTACCAATATTACTGGATGGGGGAAAAAACTATCAACATTGATAGTTTATTTGGTACGAAGGAAAATTGGGTGGATGAAAAAGGAAGGATGAAAAATGAGGAAAGAAAGAGTTTTCTTTGCTTGGTATCAAAGAAAAATTCGATGGACCACGCCTATTGGGGTACCGGTCTTACTCTTTAGTTTGAAGTTGAGAGTTCGAGTCTTGGAGTTTTCATTGGGGCTTCGTAGTTGGCCGCTATGCTAGCCTAACTAGGTCTGATTCCGAGAAGTATTCTAGGCACGACCAGGGGCCTTATGATCCCACCGATAAGGATTTATCAGGGTGATCGCTGGACGCTTTTCCTTGCCCCCACACCTTAGTTTAAGTATCAAAAAAAAAAAGGAAAATTGGATGGAATGGAATAGCAAGTGGAAACAAAATCCCTTTCGTCCGCTATTTTGTTTTGGTCCAAAACTGGGCAAAAATGGGACAGCAAAGTGGGTTACATAAGGTATAATGATGAATTGATGATCTGTTTGTAGGAAAGATGAAAAAAAATAAGGGATAAAAATTATAAGGAATATACTTTCCATTTTTTGAGGAAATTTTTTTTTTTGTTTGGTATAAAAGATGAAAAAAATAAGAGAAATTTTTTTTTTATTATTTTATGTTGTAAGAGAAGAAAACTGAATAAAAAATTACCATCCCTTCTCTGTAGGAGAGATTTAATGTACTTTTCATGGACCCCACAAATGTGGTCCACTTGTACAAACAAAATGACAAGAAAAAGGTGGGCCACGCACTCTAAAATCCGTCACTTTAAATAGTTAAAATGGTAAATTTCAAAGAGTTGTTACATCAGCCACTTTTTTTGTCGGACTTTTTCTTTCATTTTTGAGGTGATCAAAAATAGTAGGCAAGATACGGTTTCCACGCACTTTCTCTTCCTATACCAACAAAAGGTAAATGTCATTTTTCATCGATCATTTTCTATCCATCCACTTTCCACCAAATTAAATAGGCCATGAATGTGTTTGATTTTTCGTTCCATTCTTTTTACCTCTTATATAGAACAATAAAAAATATATTATTCTTATTTTTTATTCATCATACCAAACAATAAGAAGAGAAATTATATTTTCTTTCTTCATAGATAAAAAATCCATTCTCTCTCCTTTTCAAACATTCATATTTTTCAGCCATCATACCGTACACACCATTAGAAAAACAATGTAAAGCAGATGAGATAAGGAATGACAAAATCAAGGTCAAGGAAACAGCTGGTCAAACACGTGTTTAGGATATTTCTCAAGTGCTTGTCATCTTCAATTATAAAAGTGAACAAATCATGAATTGAACACTGATATTTTAATAAAATAATGATAGCCGGTCAATCATACAACTAAGAATCATGATTGCTTTTTAAATTCCTACAATCAATCATATAGTGTAATATTTTTAAAGAATTTTGAATTGAATTCTATTAAAATCTTATTATTCAAATTATCTTAATAACACCGTCTCATTGGAATGAAAGTAATTCTAATCAGGAATAGGTATCTCACTCCAAGTTAAAAAATGTCACAATTTTTATAATTGAAGTAGGATATTTATAATAAAGATTTTTATTTTAGGAAGGATGATGACTTTAGAAAGGGGGATTGGGGTACGAGATTACCATAATTGACCATGGGTTTTGTTGGAACATAACTTTAATACCACTGATTGAAACATAACTCTGATACTATTTGTTAATTTTGCACAGCGGATAATTAACACAAATAATACTTGTTGAAAGATAAGAATTCAAAAATAGAAAAACAATAAAAACATGACACAAAAATATAACGTGATTCGATACAACATACTTATTTGGTACACCGTACTTACATTCACGGATCAAGAATCTACATCGATATATTATTCACTGAAATCTGATTATCTGGTAACTGATTACATAATACTTAACCATGTTTAGGGATAAAATATTATAATTCAATTCTATTAAATACAACTTGATCTTTATATTTTCTATTACATGTTAAATATATTTATTCATAGTATATTAAATTCTTCAAATAAAATCCTATTCCATATAGGATTCTCATATTGATTACCCAACAAACTCTCCTTCATAACAAAGAGTTTGGGTCAAATTCCAACAGGTTTAAAGTTCTTAATTGTTATTGAGAATTTGGCTTCAATTGTGATACTGTCCCGAATTTAGATCACTAGTTCTTTTATTACCCAAACATGTTAATCCATGGATCTAGGCATTCGATTACCATTCCTAGAAAGATTTTTGTCATCCAAACAGAGATTATAAGAGGAAAAATCTTGTGCCTTTTGTCGGTTGGAGCCACTCGATGTCTAAGTCATAAAGGTTCTGAAAGTAAGCAAAGAGAATCGTTGAAAAAAAATGCACACCTTTGGCTATTTATAGCGTTGGGCGACAACTTCTTTGTCAAGATTTGCGCTATAGACTGTAGTAGGTGCTAAGATTTCTCTCAAACTTCTTTCTCGTTTGCCTATTTGTTATGGCATACGATTAACGTTTAGTTGTGATTCAGGGAACGCTCTTATCAATTCAACTCCATCCCTAATTTCTTGGGATGGCTTAACCATCTCATTTACCGAAAGATCTCCATACAAAAAATTATTTGCGAGCTCTACTCAGTCTTATTTCCAATTCGATCATATTAACAGCTCGGTATACTCGGTTGAACACTTCAGTCATTTATTCGGACTTGTGACTTCTTTAAGTGCCTCAATCATACACAATTGTTTTATGCCCCAGAGGTCTTTTTCAAAAGCATTCAACTTGAGATCGCAAATATCTGGACTAGCACATGCTGGGGAATTTCATTTTTGTTTTATTGCTGCCTAAATCAGATAAATCTAATGAAACCAACTCCACTACTATCAAGAAACACAAAAACTCCACCTGCTTTGTTTTTTACCCTTAAAAAAACATTATCAAAGGAGAAATGCTACATAGAATTAAAAAATAAATTTAATAATTACAACAATTGATTTTACTATTGGCCAAAGAATTTGAAACAACTGAATTGTGAAAACGTAGTACAAGTTTTCACCAATACAAATAGAATTATTCTAACTTTTGGAACCAAATTCTCAACCCATTGAGGTCCATTTGCAGAAGTGTAAAAAACAATAGTGCTAGAGCCCCCGACTTACATATAATAGAGAATGGAATCCCATATTTTCCCCTCCCAAACAGTCATCTAAAAAATGACTAGAAGCATAGCACCACCCACACACTACATATGATCTCTCCTAACCCAGACCCATCTCTACCACGAGTCGTCGATCGGAACCCTAACAACTTGCGGTCAAGTTCACCAGCAAAATGGTGGTGCCGGGCACGAAGATCAGGGACTCATCAAATGTGAACCTTCCTGCACTAGCATTGGTGTCATGGGCACCGGTGGTTTGGTTTTTCTTTGTAACTTCAAACATAGTCTCGGATAATCCTAGGAGCTTGAGTGTACCACTTAGAAATCCAAAGAACCATGATGTCACTGATATGATTCTTGACATTTTTTGATTGTTCCACCATGCTTGGATTGACAAGCCTACTCGTACGGATTCTAATAGAGTATATATGTTGTAAATAAGAAAGAAAGCGACAATTATAAGTTTAGTTGGTTCGTAGACCTGCATGTACAAAATATTAAGTAATTATATTTTTGAATCATATAATGTCACAATAATCTTAGCTTTGAACCCCCTAACATGTTCAAATAATAAACCAATGATTCCATCATTGCTATACATTTTTCTACAATTTCTTTTTCTGGTGGCCTTAGTAATTCCAATATCATTCAAAAAAGGTATCTTTATAAAGCCAAATTGTCCAACTTATTTGGTCTATGTTAGAGTATGTGTGACTCATATATTTATTATGTGCATAATGGCAAGGAGGCAGATGCCGGAGCCCGCGACGGCATCTGCCTTGCGGGATTTATATATAGGGGACGTTGATAAGTTGGGGGTGCGGGGGCAACGCCCCCGCGGTACGGTACAGGGGTATTTTTGTAAATACGTCCATATTAGGGTTATATAAATACTTAAGATGTAACCCTACTTCAATAAGGAAAAGAACAGCCGCTCGCTCTCGTGGATGTAGGCACATTGTCGAACCACGTAAATCTCTGTGTGTTATTTTCTCCTGCTTTCTTAATTGTTTGATTCCTTACTATTCACCATAATTGTTGCACAATCACAACAGTCTACAACTTCATAGGACTAATGCATTCTTGGTCTAGATGGGATGAATTAAAACTATGGAATTAGCTAATTTTTTCTATCAATATTCGGGTACACAATCTTTTGACAAGATTTCATTGTCAAATTAATCATTGAGATGATCGCCGAAGAGTTTGAATTCAACAGTTTGTAAAATTTCAAACACTTTAAACTTTTATGTTGCAAACTATCATGACCAAGCATGAGTTAGTAGAAGTAGTGGCATCATTTGAACTTTCTTTCATTGTTCATTAAAACTTCAGAAATTCAAGTCCTTTTGGCGATCTTGGACCAAGGAGATTTTGGGATTTATGGCCTTTTATTTCTTAAATTTCTTATTCTTACAATTCTTTGAATTATTTAATACAAAACGTGACATATGTATGATCACTCCTTCCATCTCTGCTTAGAACTTTAAATTGAGGGTTATGATTTGTCCTCCTCACCTTGGGCAAGAAGTGAGAGTTGGTGATAATGCAATAAGCCGGCAGAGCAGCGTAACAAATCTCCGGAATGGTTTGCAGAGCCGACATCTGAATCCCCACGTAGGCCAGGCATTGCCTAAACTGGAGCTCACTATTGAAGGTAGTAAATATTGGGCTTTTTGGGCTAAGCAGAATTTCCTGAAGCCCAGTGGACCATCTCTTCTGTTGGAACAATGCGGTGGTTCCAAGAAAAGCAGGTGGTTGGGGTGTTAAAAAGGTAGATTTCCAACCTCTCCCATGGATAATAAGCCCAGTTAGGACATCTTCTGTTGCCGATTAATATATCCAACCAACCTGTAATATGCCAAAAACCATTGTAGTACAATTTTAATGGGCTTGGGCCATAATTAGATTAACAGCTAGACCCATTTAATAAATGAATCGATCGGTTATATTGACACGAAATTTATTATGAATCCAATAAGACACGACCCAAATAAAATGTGTGTTACCTTTTCACCCCAGCTGGTACCCTGTTCATAGCAACAACTCGCAACTTGATATGCTGCCTCAAGGGAACTCGACAGACAGCTTGGATTCTGGGTCTTTGCATGGGATTCTGATACAGTCTGGGCTGCTGATTTGAAGAATTTCATTGACTTTCCAAATGTATTCTGCAAACTCTCATCACCCACTCCTCCTAGTAGCCATAATAATAATAATTAATATTTGGTAGATTTTCAGCCTAATTTAAAGTAGAGCCACTCATCATTTTGAGTAATTTTTTGTAGATTTGTGTTCTTTCATATTTTATCCAATCTTGAAGTTAGTTCCGTTACAACTTTTGAAGACTAAGTTATTAATTTTTAAAGGTCAAATTACAACTAATTAGAGGTATTGATGATCAATCATGAATTAACTGAAGTAGTTATAATTTAACTTCAAAAAAATAATAATTTTTTCCACGACCCCAAAAATTGGATACGACGGATGGGGCTTTTGATCTCAAAAAGAGTATTTGACCGGAGCATTTTATTCATCAGCGAGAGTTGATTCACGTACCGTCACTTATTGTGCCGTTAGGTGATAAACCTTATATAACTTTTTTTATGTGAAAACATCCTGTTCCTGAATAAAAAAGTCCTTGAATTTCGGCGATTCCACGTTCTGTATACTGATTTAGACATAACTAGAAACGGTGATTAATAGGTTAATCAAATTGAAATTGCCCATATTAGTATTATTTTCCCAACAGACAGAATAGTAAAAAGTCAGGGTCGTTCATTTTGTTTATTACTAATATTATTACAATTGCCAAATATGAAGTTTGAATTAGTGACCTCCAATCCCTGGAAGTAAGGTTAATCATCTCGGATAAACTTGTAGATCTAGTCAGGATTGTTGAAGAATTCTTATTTTATCACCAAAGTTTACACTGATTTTCATTATTATTTTTAAAGTTTTCTTTTGTGTCAATTTCGTCTTCCAACTAGAGCTAATTTAGTTTCCAACCAATGAATTCCATAAAAAAATACTTGACAAAAAAGGCCATGGGTGCATTATGCAATCACTCAAAAAACTAAACAATAACAATTTACCCTAGAACAAACTAGAAGATTTATTAATGAAAATGTACGTAATGCGATGATTTAATTTGAGAATCTAATGATTTATATCAGTTAGATTAATAATGAATTTCATTTAATATTAAAATTCACAATTAATCTAATGATTTTCGATGATTATAACAAATTAAGTATCTGATTAGATCTTCAAATGAAGTTTGTATATCATTTTACTAAATTTCAGACGCAACTCGAAAGAAACCACCAACTGATTTCCAAATGGGTCATCCTTGAGTCCATCATAGAAGCATTGTGTATATTGAACAAAGCCACTGTCCATTTCATTCTTGACACCAAGTAACATGCACATAGCATGAAGAACCATCTGGGGATTGTTGGCATACATATCACAGTCTACATTCAGCATGAAAGGAGCATTTGTCATCACTCCTGACACTCTGGTCTGTTCACAATCACATACAAATTATATTTCCATGTATGGAGAATAAAACAGTATGGGTTAATTAGACTTTTCTGTGATATAGGAATCTCTGACCAGAACATTCATGGCACCAGCTTTGAAATGATGTGGCTGCTTTGGATGCTTCTCTCTGGAGATGTAGACCAGATGAGGCAAACCATTGGGAAGACCTTCCTTGTTCTCCAATATAACTTAAAAAAACATTATCTCAAATAAGTACAATAATGAAAGTCCATTGTATGACTTAAAAAAAAAAAAATTAAGTTCACGTACACATATACATATAGAGCAATGTAATTTGGATCTAATTTACTAATGCTCCGTTTGTACGATGAAAAAGTGGGAGGATGGAAAGTTGGAGAGATAAATAAAACATCATGTTTAGTAAAGAAGGAAAGTAGGAAGGATGGAAAAGTGGATGTATTAACTTTCCTTCCAACTCACCAAAATCAATCCCTCCAAAATTGGAAAGAAAGTGAATGAAAAGTTAATTATTTGTGTTGAGATGTATCTTATTTGTCTATATATCTTATGTATACATTAATTTCATATAAAAATACAATGGTAAAATATGTATATATATTTTAAAAAATTTAAAAAAAATAAAAAAATAAAAATTTAAATTAAAAAATATTTTTTTCATATTAACTAAGGGCGAAAATTTAAAAATTTTTGACTTAACACGATGACACGACTCGAACTTGATATAAAAATAAAATGGTTAACTCGCAATTTGACACAACACAATTAATTAAATGAGTTAAGTTAAATTTGACTAATATTCGACACAAAAATGTAATGACTCAAACACAATCTGACACGTCTCGATTGTCACCCCTAATATTAATCAGTAAAAAAAAAAATAGTCATTTTTATTTTCCATCCATCCAATCAAACACAAAGGAAGAAAAATGTATCTTTCTTACTTTCCATCATTGAATGAAAGAAAGTGTATCCCCTTACTTTTCATCCTCCCTACCAAATGGAGCACAACTTAATCACTCAACAATTGGATTGATAGTGGTCCCAGTATTTGTTGAGATCAACAATTAATCTAATAGTTGAGTGATTATGTTAATAAATTAGGTATAAATTTCATTATTAATACATATATACATATAGAGAGTAAATGCATTAATAAGTTGTACACACAGTGGTAAAACTATGATATCGAAAAATAATTTTTCAATATTGTATCTCTCTTTTATGGCCAATAAAAGTAGATTTTAACATGTTGAATATCAAATAACTATAATACATACAAGAGAGAACTATTTTTTATATGATTTCTAAAAGTTAATTTTATGTATCTCACACACACACACACACACACATATATATTTGTGGGTTATGTACTTATGTACGTATGTTTTTGTGCTCTTCCAATATTGTGGTCTTCATATTACTTGTCTTACATAAATTCCATAGATGGTGATAATGATATTAGAATATTTATGTCTTATTCAATTGATAAGGTTAGAGTGGATTCTTTTCAAGAAATATTGTCCCTTTGTTCGAATAATGTGAGAACCTTAATAATTTTATAATTGTTCACTTGGTGCGATATGAAATGGGGTTGATAAGTTTGAACAACTCAAAGAAAAGTTCTTACCCAAAGCACAAGAGATCCAAGGAATTTATTTTTGGACTTAAACCCGTAACATATTTCTTTTCCCACAATATGAGAGATGTTATTTTTAGACGAATAATCACTGATAATTTGTGGAGTTCGATCACGTTTCATTAATCAAATTTGAGGAGAGAAATAAAAAAATTTCAAAACTTTGTCAATTATTGAAAAGACCCATGATGTTTTAATTTTTTTTTTTTTAAATTTCAACATGACACAAACCTCTATAGTGGGGAAAATTTTCTAGCAAAAACGTTGTAATTTGTGAATTGCAGTTTTGAATAAAATTCTAATCTTGTCGAGGGTGTGTGTTCATGCTTTCTAGAATACCATTGCCCATTTCAACCTTATTGACATTTAGATCACTCATCCAACACTAATTTCTTCTATTTCTCACAAACTACATATCATCGGTCATGGATTCGAATGAAACTAACTATACCCTTCACACCGATGTACAGTGGATGAATTATCATTGGAAAAAGTCGAGAAAAATATATTGAATGAGATTGGGACGATATCTGATTTCGAAAACAATTAAGCTACCCCAGGTGCTGTATATATGTGTCAAGGGAATAGTTCACTCCACCTTTATTACAGTTGGATGGTTTCTGCACTCTGTATGAGAAAATGCTGCAAATTCCCCCGTAAGGTCCCATGGCACAGATGTTTGCTTTTCGTATTCATCCTAAAAAAAAGATCAAGATCATCATGTGTTTACACTTGAAATGCCACTATGTAACGGGATTGGATCCTTCCGATCCTGTTATTGAATGAAGTAATGGCTACGAAAAAAATTCACAACTATAACAATAGTTATGCAAGCGTAACAGCCTCGTAATGGACTTTAACGACCATAACAAGCTGTAAAAAACTTAGTAACAGCCCCATATTACAATTTTAATTTTTCTTGGGTATAAAAAATGAACTGAATTCACCAAATTTTCGGTATATATGCCCATCATGTACATATAGAAATATTTTCAGATTGAATATAGGTTCATGAAAATAATAAATGGTGAGTATTTCTCTATATTAGCGACTTAAAAAATAAAATAAATTTGTTTAACATGTTTAACAAAATCTGTAGTCAATCACTAATAAGGGATACATATTTGAATGATTCTAGACTTCAAATGTGTGATTTATTTAAATGTTGAAAATGGGTGTGAATAAAAAAAATTCACCCTTTCGATTTTAATTTCCGTTATGCATTGTCCGTTACGCCCCATGAATGACAATGATGAATAGTAAAGGATGGGTCTGACGAGGGATCACCTTCATGTTGAGATAGCTTCGAATTGGGTGTGGCAGGTGTGGGACCCAATTTCACTTCAAGCATACTTGCACGTGATAACAGGGTAAGAGCGTACTTGGATTGAGAAAGATGAAGCACTGTAGCAGTGCGTTTTGCTTCAATACCCAACATATAATGAAGATCCCTTAGATCTTTCATGGCAAACTAAGTACTGAGCATATCAATAAAGGATCAAAGAAATGAGGGAGAACTGTTAGTTAAGATGATATCATGCATCCACATAAAGAAGAACCATTGCTTCGACCGACAAATGAAATACAAACATGGAGGAATCTACTCGACTGCAAGTAAAGCCATATTGATGAAGAAAACCACTAAAGCGTTGAAACCAAGCGCGTGGAGCTTGCTTAAGACCACAAATAGCCTTATGAAAACGACAAACATGTATAGGACGAAAAGGGTCATGGAAGCCAGGCGACTGTTCCACATAAACTTCCTCAAACAGTATTTCATGAAGAAATGTTTTCTTCACTTCCAATTGACGAATAGACTAATCACGAGAAAGAGTCAGAGACAGAACTGTGTGGATAGTAGCAGGCTTCACCACTGGACTAAAGGTTTCTATAAAGTCTATATCTTCTTGTTGATTATAGCCTTTAGCAACTAAATGGGCTTTGTATTGCTCCACTGAAGCATCAAATTTTTCCTTAATTTTGTAAATCCATTTGGAGCTCATATTGCCATGACGAGGGACAAGAGACCATGTGGCATTGGAAAGAAGAGAATTAAATTCACCTTGCATTGCAACATACCATTTTGGATCTTTAGAGGCCTCTCGATAGGTAGAAGGTTCTATCTGATTAGAGGATGTCATTGATGCAAACAAGGCAGCTAGAAGAGAATGCTTGGTCGTCATGAAACACCTTGGTTTGGTAACAATGCCATCCTTAAATCATGTAATTATCAGGTGAGTGAAAATAGATGGAGGTGGTGGTGTAGGAGTTGTCAGAGGTTCCACAGAGGTCTCAACAAGAGCCGATTCATTCTCAGCCAAAGTAGGTAGAAAAGAGGCAGGTGATACATCGGTAGAAGAGGCTTATGGAGATCCATGTGGTGTGAAATCTATTGGGATGGATGAAGAAGTGGTTGGAATCGTCCTGCTAGAAACAGGCAGAGTCGACTGAAAGGGAATCAGTAACGAAAGCTATTGTTGTTGAGATTCCAACATTGGCAGAGTAGAAGTTGAGTTTGCAAAAAGAAAATTGAACTTATCAAAGATAATATGACAGGAAATATAAACTCGGCCTATGACTATATCCAAGCACCGATATCCCTTGTGATGACCACTACACCCCAAGAATGCACACCAGATTGACTTTGGGCTTAACTCATCTGCCTTATAAGTCCCCAGATATGGATAACAAGCACATCCAAAAGTGCGAAGTATGTTGTAATTTGGTTTTGCATGAAATAAAACTTCACAAGGAGAGCCAGAGTTCAACACTAGCGTTGTTAAACGGTTGATAAAGAAAAACTGCAATGTTGAAAGCTTCAATATCACATTCATCAAGTATAGTTTTGAACACTCCCTGGTTAACTCTAAAGCACCATCACTTTGAAAATATTTGATCTTGGTTGATAGTAAATTTTTCATTATCCTTTTTAAATGTAAGAAAAAAAATTTGGGGTCTGTTTGGTTTGCATCTCAAAAAATAGTATCCAAAAATAGTTTTTGAGACGAATTTTAAGAAAGTATTTTTGAAAATTTTTATATTGTAAAACCTATTTGGTCATATATTTTTGAAAATAGTTTTAAAGAATAAAAATTGTAAAATCTATTTGGGTAACAATCCACAAAGCCCAAAATTCCCTATCTCTATCTTTCTTTCCCCTTTCGTATCTTCACAAAACCTACACACACACAAACATAAACACATACACACACACATGCATACACACATACATAGATCGATACACACACAGACACATAGATCTGAGCACACAGATAGAGAACGGAGAAGCCGCCAGAGATTTGTGTGTGTGTGTGTGTGTCTTGAACCTAAAGGTAGAAAAAAAAAGGCCCTCTCTTTGTCTTCGTCTTCGTTAAAGAGGAGAGATAGAGAGGAGATGGAGATCTTTGTCTTTGTCTTTGTTGTCGCTGGAGATCTCTGTCTTTGTTGCAAACGTTGTGAGAGAGAGAGAGAGAGAGAGAGAGAGAGCCTAAGTGAAGGGCTTTTATACTTCAACAAAAAAAAAAATGTATTTTACTACTAAGGAAGTTTGATGGGTGGACGTTATTAAAGAGGAGGAGTTGTTTCCCTTGTTTTCTATTTTAGCCTTAAAACTCAGAACATTTTTTTATTCTCTAAAATCACATCTCATTTCTCCAAATTTTCAAAAACTTGGAGAATAAAAAAACTAAACAAACAACATTTTCTTGTTTTTAGAATTTTGAGAACAAAAAACTGTTTTTGAAAACCAAACCAAACAGACCCATGGATTGTCAATTTAGCTTTCATAGGGTAAAGACACTCATATCAACAAAAATCATCAATAAATATGATATAATAGAGGTAGTCTGAAGTAGAAGAAACTGGTGCTAACCCCCAAATATCACAATGAATCAGATAGAGTGGGTGCGGAGAATGACGAGTATATAAATCAAAAGGTAATTCCTTACTATTTCCCAATTGACAAGTAGGACAGACAAAACTTTTATTCAAAGTACCATAAACATCTAAACATTTATTTGAACAAAGAGAAGCAATAGTCTTAAATCCTGCATGCCCTAAACGATTATGCTAGACCTTAGAGGTAGCCTTTGCATTGATGAAAACTGATCTTGTGGAAACGAGACAATCTTTATTTTAGAGACTTCTAGATGAGAGATGGAGTGAATAAAGATTTTCCTTAACTGGTCCTGTAAGAAGAACTTCCCCGGTGCCAAATCCTTAACAAAATAATACCATGGAAAGAAATGAAATGAACAATTATTGTCCTTAGTAAATTGTGTCATACATAATGGATTCTTCTTAGTAGAATGAACACACAATACATCTCGAATGTGGAGTTTAGAATCAAAATTGTGAAAATAGATATTACCAGTATGAGAAATCAGAAAACTTGCACTATTTCCAACCATAACTGTATCTAAACCAGAGTAGTCTATTGGTTGTTGGAGAATAGACATGTTTCTTGTCATATTACTAGTTGCATCAGTATCTGGGTACCAAAATAGATGGAAATGGAGCATACGGAGACTGCACAAGCGGGGAAGAGCCTGCATTGTTAATATTCGTAGTTACAAAGGATTGTTGTACTGGTCTGGAAGTATAAGCTTGATTAAATCGAAATCAACATGTGAATGCAATATGTCCTTGTGCATGACAGATTTGATGTTTTCCCATGCAGCGATTTCCCTGAAAATTTTGACCACGACCATGATTTTGAATATGAGAGTTAGAAGGTTGAGCATTCCCTCGTCCATGACCATTTGAGTGCTCACCACGTCCGCAATTAACAAAATAATCACCATGTCCACGTCCTAAATTTTTTGATTTTGGTTGGGTACATGTGTAGCAATAAGAGAGGTATCACCCATGGATGGAATATGTAACACCCCGTATTTTATTTTATATATGTATATAGATATATAGTAAATAATTGTGGTAAAAAAATGTGGATATATGTAGTGATGTGTGTTTGAATTTGGTAGATTGGAAAAGTAGAGATTTAAAATGTTAGTGAAAATAATAGTTGAAATTTAGTTTTAATAAGTGAAAATATGAAATTTTAGGTTCTAGAACTTGTATTAAATAGTTTGGTGTAGAAATATGTGTTGGAGAGGTTTGTGATGGATTTGGTTGGCTTAGGAATAGATTGAAAATGGAAAAGGGATGAAGACAGGCTGTGAACAGTGCACTATTGTAACTTCAAGCTCGATTTAGACCTTGATGCAGTCAATATCTCTCAAAACTCAAAACATAAAAGTTTTAGAGTTCTTTCGTATCATTCCATAGCATCTTGAATCATCTCAATCGGAGTTTGGATGAGAGAGTTATGTTCAGATAATGAAATGATGTCGAAATAGTCCAATTAGCTTCGTTTTGCATTTAATATCTCCATTTGCATCCTAAATCAAAATATAAGAATAATGAGTATTTTTAGGCTTCAAATAAGTATAAAAGGCTTTAATAAACACCCTTATCACCTTTTATTTGCAAACATCGTAAAACTTCATTAATAGCCGATTGAATGGGTAAAATTGAAACTTTAGTGTTTCGGGTGTACGTTGACTTGAGTTTTGAGATAAATCATAAATAAATATTTTTAGGTTAAAATAACATGATAAATGAATCCAGAACGTTGACAAACCTTAGGGTAGTCATATGGATCAAATTGGAGATTCTTAGTGGTAAAATCATAAATTTGGAGAAACCCCAAAAACAGCTTGTGAACAGTGTTTTTCATCTCATTTGCTCTCATTTCCTTCACTCCCCTCACACCTCTTGAAACCCTAGAGAGCATTAGAGAAGAAGAAAGGAAGGAAAAAAAATAAGAGATTCAAGGGTGATTCAAGATCAAATCTTCTTGTTCTTCACATCAAAGCTAAGGATTCAAAGTAGAGATTTTCTCTCGTTCACTTACGTTGAGGTAGGGTATTTATATATGTATGTTTTGACTATCAATGATATATATATGCTATGGAATCATCCTCTCTTAAACTTTTTTCAAGGATTACATGTTTTGAATAAAGTAGGGTTTTATACCCATGAAATCTCCTTTCTAGTTTTAAAACCCTAATTTTTGGAGAGTGATGTATTTCCTTCCTAAATGCTTTATTTATTATGAATTCGAAACCTTAGTGCTTTGTGCTGGGATAGAAAAATGATGTTATTGTGATATCATGTATTTTCTTAGTTGGTTGTGGAATTGTTGTATGATATATTTTGGATAGATGCTTGTAAATTGAGATAAATGTTGGAATTGTATGCTTGGTTGGGTTGTTTGTGATGCACATGAGTGAGAGGTTCCTTGTAAGGATGTTCACCATTTTCAAGAGGTTCGGTAAGGATGCTTGAAAAATAATGTAGTGATTGGTGAGAGGTTCCATGTAAGGATGCTCATCTATTTTCAAGAGGTTCGGTAAGGATGCTTGAGAATCAAAGGCGACCTAAAGGGGGGTGGAGGTTACCACA